CAACGCCCCAGCTGCTCTGTCCTAGGCGTCCAGATTCAGCTGCTGTTGAAACTGATCAGCGGCTGATTCCAGGCAGCCCAGGGCAGAGCAACTCTGCCTCAGGCTTCCTGTAGTCAGCCCCTGGTCAGTTTCAGCAGCGGCTGAATCTGGAAGCCAGTTCCGACTTACATACAAATTCAACTTAAGAACAAACCTACAGTCCCTATCTTGTACGTAACCCGGGGACTGCCTGTATTCAAAATATATATTTCATTACATTTCACTACTTGATTTCAAAATTTACAGTGTAAGACAATGTACTCATGTGAATTGAAATAGAAAATGACAATGATGTGCTTATTTCACAATGTATTCTATACAAAGACATTGTTGTTATTTTAACAGGTAATTCTGAGCAAGAAAGAAAATTAATGCCAAGTGTAGGATACTAAATGTCAGATAACATATCTGCTTGCACACTTTCTATACTGTAGTCTACAAAATCAAGAACGCTATAGTTTCATACAATACAATAAACATTCACTCCTACTTTTTAGTACAGGTTGAACCTCTCTAGTGTGCACCTTGAGACCTGACTAGTGCTGAACCAAAGAATTTGCTGAACTATGGGAGGTCAATATTGTCTAGCAGCATTACCAACACTTCCACTGCTTACTGGGCTGTTAGAAAACATTTAGGGATAAATTAGAGCTAAATAACAGCACAAGACACTGAGCCAGGACTGGGGGCTATAAACAAAATTTATTGGATTGTGGGAAAGTTGGCCACCCCTATGGTAAGTGGACATCTGACTAACTAAAATCATGCCAGACCATGGATGTTGCTGGACCAGAGAGTGCTGGACTAGACAGGTTCAACCTGTAACTGTGGCATTAAATAACATATAAACTGTGCCTGAGATGTTGTGCAAATAAACTTATTTTTCTGAATCACAAAGGTTCACTCCACAAAAAACAAACAAACAAACTCCCCCCGCCTCCCCTAAAAAACCGGTAATATGTACTATCTTGTAAAAGTGTGTCTCAGGGCTCTGTTACTGCTGATAGTGTTGATGCTTATATGGACTGTTAATATGTGGTGCCTGGACACTAGAGAAATAGGTGCATTACAAACAATATCAATTATGAGATATCTGAGATAAGAATATTTATACGGTACCCACAGCTAGCTGGTTAGTAATGGTTCCTTCATTCCAAGGCATTCTACAGGAGTTTTAAAGCATTGACAGTTGACATGACAGACTGTAAGTGGAGCACAGTATTTAGATAGTCCTTAATTCATGGATCACTGATAGAACACTTCATACCCACCCTAAAGGAGCACTGTGGTCTGATGGTTCAATGTACATCTCTAGAGAATCTTTATCCATAGATTTGATACAACAGACTACAATGGCTTGGAAGGAGCAGTTACAATTTATTGTGTTTAATGGATGCTATCAAAGTGCTTTCATCCACAAATTATTGACATGAGAGTTCATTACTGTGTGCAGTATCTATTCATATATAGGGAGCTGTGCTCCAGGGATTATTGACAAGGTGGCCCATAAATGGTTCCTCTGTTCCAGTTGCATTCCATCATATTGTTTTATCCTACCATTTATGGATTATTGACAGGATAGAAAACAATGGCTTAGAGCTGTTATATGCACAGTAATGACTTTGGGCAATTACGTAATCTTTAATCCATGCAACATTGACACAATGGAACTCAACTTCTTCTCCTTCTCTAGTATTACATCTGCCTTGCCAATGTATATTATGAAGGAGTCTTATCCATAAGAATGCTGAAAGGAAGCTCTTAATCTATAGCTAGGGAGTTTGTGTATTCAGAATAGTCCAAGCATTGTATCACTTACACAGTATTGATGCCTGTACAGTTAAAGTATGTGTGTGTCAAACATCTTTATGAAAAGGTATCTCCAATGAGCATTAGTTATGTAACAAAGGTGCTTGTCCCATCATAGCTCTAATGGTATGTAAAACTGAAATCATCCAGATATATAATGATCACCTAATTGGCCTAAAAAAGAAACCTTAGATATCATTAAGGATAGTAAGAGTGAGACAACTGAGAAAGTTACCTCATATTCTTGTGAGAACTTCAAATTGTCATTAGCTTTCAATCTTTCAATGTGATCTGCAAGTTCCAAGATAGGTATTGGAGGATGGCTAGCCATGCCTGTTGAAAGAGAGAGAAGGGAAACAGCATTTAAAATAAACCAAAGAGATTGCATTATTCTAAAATTTAGAGAATACAGTAGTTAGAATGGCTAGAAATATGCAAGTAGTAAAGATGTTGTATGTGAAGGGAAGCAGGCAGATAGTTTGGCTACTCAAAGCAGGACATGCTCTGGAGAGATGAACTTTGAAGCCAAATAAAAATAATCACCAAGCATATTCCCAAAGCTAACATTCCTAGTGTAAAAGAAAGTGTTATTGTGCTATGAATCAATGAGGTTAGCTAGGCAGGAAAAATGAGACAGTTAGACCTGATGTTGACTTCTGCTTTGAGTAATGACTCTTAATGTCATTTCAAACTCCTTCTCCTGCACTGTGTGAAATGGAAACTGTGTCTTGAATTAGATGATGAAAGGTGAGCTGAGAAAATAGACACTGAAAGAGGCCTAAAGGGGAAAAAATAGTATTTTGACAGAAAACAAAGTGACTTATGCATAATCAAGGAAAACTAACTTGGAGAATGAAGGTTACCAGGGTAACCGGAGACACCTGAACCTGCAAAGGAAATGATATAAAATAAAATAAAATAAAATAAAATAAAATAAAATAAAATAAAATCCCAAATTAATTAAAAAAAATACAAATAAAAATGAAATGGATCGCTTGGTAATTAGAGGGGACTGATAATGTTTCAAGAACGGAAGGACTGACTATACATTCTGACTCAATCAGACCAGGAAGACTCTAAGATAGCTTTAATATTTTATGAAGTTTTGAGATGATTGACATTCACATGCAACTGTGGATGACTAGAATAACATGCATCACTGCTTATAGACAACAGTCAGTAAAGACAAGACTGGACATCAGACAACTAGAGCTTCAAAAATGTTTTCACTAGTAGCAGATTGTAGAGACAGGGGTTGTACAATTCAGCTGGAAACACATATCTGGCTGTACTAGTACCTTAAAGTGATCTTACCCTCAAACCCCATTATCAACCCCCAAAAGTACCTACAATCTACTTCAGGTGTAAACATCTTTGTCTACTGATGAAGATACAGAATGAAAGAGAGAGTGAAAGAGAGTCTGGAAAAAGATGGGGATTGACAGAAAAAGAAGGGGGGGAGGAAGGAAGAGAGAGGGAGAGAAAAAGGCAAAGAGAGATGTGGGGCCAACTAGAACAGGCTGCCAGCTAAATATTTGCCAGCATACTCTTTGTGGCCATTTCCCCCTGAATCAATTAGTTTTGATGCCACCTCCCCAAAATAGTTGGCATTTATTTCTTCAGGTTTACTTTTACCAGGCCTAGAAGAAAATAGTGTGTATAATCCAGTTACAGGGAGAAACCACAGCTAGAAAATTTTGTCTAGTGAACCCCAGGATCTGCTGAAATTACAAAAGAAAACAATGATGACTGCAGGGGGCTCAAAGTGGAAGCCATGTTGCACAATTCAGTTTGATTTGTCACCATGAATTTCAGGAGTGTTCTGAGGAATATCTAACTTACAATTTCTACCACACCACTCTAAATGACCAATGGGATTATGATATGGTCACTTCATAATTTTTTTGTGGTATTTTAGTCACTAATTAATAAATTTCAGTTCACAGGAAGGACCAGAAGCTCTGATCCAAATCATTTGAGCCTTGTATAGTACTCATAACATACTTTCATATAGTTAAATGCTAACCGCACAGTGATTCTGTCACTGCGAGGTTTTATTATAGATAGTATGACATACTACCAGTCAACTGAACTAAGGGGAGTACCCAGGAATAATGGGGATATTTTTAGGAAGTTAGAGGTGTTAAATTAGTAGCAAATTATCTATATCAGTTCTGGAGTCTGCCATTTTCTCAGTTGTCAAATTAAGGCCATTACATTGATTTTTGAGAGTTGTGGGTGACATTTTTATAATAATTAGACTGATTTGATCCAGATCAAGCACCCCAATGAAAAGTATGGGAGTGAAAAGGCACAAGAAAACTCTAGACTTATCCAGAAATGGAGGTGGACTGATGTACATCTAAAACAGTGCTTGAACAAAGAAAATAATAGAGACAAAGATGTTTAGACCTTTTCGAGCGAATCGTGGGAGAGAGTTATTATCATATAAGGACTGAGTGGTAGTTTGGCTAGAGAGGGAGGACACAGAGCCAATCAGGGAGGCGTAGGGGACTGAATTACTGCTCAAAGCTGTAAAAAGTAAAGCCAATTGGAAATGGGAAACAAATTAGTAACAGTAGCAGAAGGCCATCATAATCAATCAATCAATCAATCAGTCATACAGACATACATGTGTACACTTCTGACATGCACAAAACCACTGCCTGGAAACTGTATTCAGAAGAAAATATCCACAAGTCCAGTCTCTCTACTGTAAAGGTAAAGGACATACAACTGAAAAAGTGGGTAATTTTTGTTAATTAGTGAACCTATCCTATCCTTTTCTACAGCACCAAGAACTTGGATCTTAGTACTTAGCTCAGTGGTGAGGGTGTTGACTCATTTTAAAGAGTCAGAAATTGTTGGTAAATTATTAGGCTATTTGATTAATCAATTCAAACTATTCCTTTTTAAAAATTGGCCTTTTAAAGAACCATTATTACAGAGGTACCCATTACCACTCTAAAGTTGAGCAACTACCACCATTTACATTTCTCACCATACAATTCTAAAGGGTGATTCCTTTGTAAACATTTGGTGCAGAGTGAAACTTGGCATAAAACTTTTCTAAGCAGGAAACTTACAGATAACTTTTATAATTATTGGCAGACTCTTATTTGAGCATAACCCCCTTCTGCCAGAACTCATTTTATGATACTATAATTGAACAATAGTTAAAATTCTTTAATATTTTACAGTCAGCATATAAAGTGAAGAACGTGCATTTGGTAGGGCTAATATTTTTTTAAAGACACAACAGATGCAATACCGAGGAGACAAATATATTACTTTTTCTTTTTTGAAGGGCTTTTGCTATGTACTCATTCTACGTATCTGTATTATACAGATGTATCCTCTTGATAATATGCATTCACGTTTCTCAAAGAGATGTTAAGGTATATGCTGCAGGTGCATATTAACACCGCTGATGCAAGCTGGAGGCTCCTATTGACTTCACCATGGATTGTTTGCACGAAGGGCAGAACTTAACTCTCACTACACAAAATGCAGCCAATCAGACTTATTTTATAGCTCTACAATATAGAATGCATACTTTTGCTGATAAACATTCATATCATTCCACATATGCTATGAGCATGTATTAAAACTAATAGACAAAATGCAGCTACATCTTTACAGGTCCTCTCACATGCTTAGTAGGTCAAAAGGAATAACATGCCAATGACATGCTTCACTTAGCTTTTTTATTCAAATAAAGAAAAGGGTAAATTAAAGCACACAAAAATGTTAAAATAATGCTCTAAAGATCTGACTCAATCAATGATGACAATATCATGCAAAGTTACATCTGAATTTCCATCTATCACCAGCCCTTATGGCTAACTACTGAAGAGGACTGCAAAGAGTGACTGATTTTTTACTGAATAATTGTGTCCCCTCCCCAAAATAATTTAACAAGAACTTGTGGCTCCAATAATACATTGAAATATCTTCTTATCTTCTAGTAATTGTACCATTAATGTGAGGGATATGGTATACTATTTGGGCTACAATACTTAGGTGTAATATAGGGAGAGTTAAGACAAAATTCAATACAAAACAGAGGGCAGATGAAAGGACCTCTGCATCAGTCACTTAATTCATGCTTAAGACCTTAGGGTGAAAACCCGATCCCACTGTAGTCAATGGGGATTTTGACCTTAACTTCCATGGGGCCAGGATTTCATCCTTATGTAGACTCTGCACTGAGGTGAATATTAATAGAAGTGAACAAGAAATAGAAAAGGAGCCTTCCATTTGCTACTTTCTTGCATGTATGCATTTATGAGATAGAAGATCAAGGCATTTTTGAGGCTTTAATATCATCGGGGAGCACATTTGGTTTGAAAATTGCTCAAGGTGTGAGTGAAGCTCCAAGTTTACAAGTCCCTGATGAATAAGCAATAGAGATTAAATAGAGCACTTAGCAGTTACAACATGCAACAGTTGCTTTTAAAAACAGGCATGTTGGAAATCTGACAATTTTCACAGAAAAACCTTTATCAAATTACTTGTATTATACACGCCCACATCAAACTAATAACCTGTGATCATTAAAGATACATTTATTGCACTAAGTATTTAATATAATATCATAGAAAAAAATCACGCTGTTTCCATCAACAGAGGAGCCGACACTAGTGGCACCTGTCCTGTCAAAAGCATAAAACTTGTGTGCAGCCTGTGCAACAAATTAAAAACCCACCAATACTGATCTGAGGTCAAAGGGAGTTTGGTTTCCAGGAGAACTCCAGGAGGTGATGCTAGAATAGCTGATACTAGAATTACTTTTATTCTTTGTTAACAGTCGCTACGGTGAAAACAAACTTGAGGGAGTAGGTTCAGGACTTATCTAACCACAATAGCGATTTCTAAGTATCCTATTTCACAATAGTTCCTTCTATGAACACTCTATTTTGAAATACAATACATTATTTTCCAGAACAATTTGTGTAGGTACAAAGTGGAACAATGCTTCTGAAATCAAGGTGACTTTTATTCTGGAAAAGAGTGCCCGTGTGGGAGCTATTCAGGTCAGTTTCCCCAAGCAGACACACCTGTGCTCTCTCATCAGTGTTGACATAATTCTCATGAATATGAATGAGAGGAGGAGAGTTCTGCTAGCTTGTAAGTCAGATGTATAAATCCAAGCATCAACTTTTCCCCTTGTGTTTAATTTGCTATTTTCTAGACTTTTCCAGTTGACCTGTTTTATTTTGTTTTGCTTGATCTTGGAAAGAGACTGGTGCAGCTTCCTTAAATAACTCTTCCCACAAGTATATGGTGAAGAATGACTTACATAAATATGAGTAAATCTTTGAATTCAAACTGTTATAATTGTCTTTATTTTCCTTGAATTTCAAGTATCTTTATATTTAACTAATGTGCTATAATGAGATAATTGTTTAATTGGTGTTCAATTACATAAATTACTTACAAGTGTGGCACATTTTGTACTTAAATGAAAAACAAAAAGTGACTTGTCAGGAACAAATCAATCTTGTTTCTCTCCTGACAGGCAGTCTGGAGTTTTTTCCTGAGCCTTAGGTCTCAGAAAATTTCAAACAATTTCAAATCAGTCACTTTATTTTTTGTAAGTCACAGTGTCTCCTTTTTGTAGATTTTATTTGATGAGATCTTTAATGTAGACATAATTATTGTTCTTTCCCTTATCCCTTGACCGCTCTCTGTCAACATGGCTTAGTGACTTTTAAAACTTGCTTGTAAGGTTAATGATTTTAATCTGTTATTTTCTAGTAAACTTGCAAGAATATGACTCTTAATCATCCCTTCTCCTCCACCTTTAGAAAATAATAAAACTTATACACTGAAACCCCTTATGCTGTTGGGAGATTGGGCATTTTCATATTGACTTAAAGAAAACCTGACACAGATGTGACCCACTTGCTGACATATGGGCTAGCTAACAAATTTACATTTGTATGGGAAGCCCATATGGAGACAGAATCTTCTCAGATGTAGAACTGTGGGCTATTCCCTTATGTTGAGACACAGTGCCAAACGTTTTCATGGTGTAGCTCCACTTGTTGCAATGGAGTGAAACCAGAGATGAATATGGTCCTCTGTGTTCAGAATAAAATGGGAATTATCCTAATAACACTGTTCTTTACTGGTAAAGCATGAAGAAAAGTGATAGGAAAGTGAAAGCTTTATTGTTCTGGCAATTCTGAATTTAGATTCATATGGTGTCTTCATATTGTGTTAGTATTTTCATCACCAGTTCAACTTGATCATTAATAAAATAAGAAAGGCCACATGGCAAAATAGAAGATAAAATACTATGGACAATCCACATAGTTTTTTTAAATGGTTATATTAAACCAGATATACTAAAGTTGATGTTACTCATATGGCATGGATTTCAAATGATTTTTAATCCAACAGGATTAAACCTTGAAGTTCACATCCCACTTACACCTCCCCCCACCCCACCTTTGACAAAATAAATTTGTGGTTTAAGATTAAAAACATTTTTTTACAACATTGTGTCTTGAACATCTGACAAGTGGCTGTTTTTGAGCCTTTCAAACAGTCAAAGCATTTGTCACCCATTACTGTTCATCAAGGTTCATCATTATCGTGAATAGAGGGGATTCCATACACACTCTATTATCATCTCCCAGTGGAAACACATCTACTTAATTTCTATGTTGACAGGCATGTGCTTGCCCCTTAAACACTGGGGATTTTTAATGATGCTCTGCCTCACATTGTCTAATTTATTTTTGATCTCTGCTCCCCATTAGTAACCATATTAAACAAGAGATTGGTAATCTAAACATTTCAATTTAAGTGAAAATTGTCTCTTCAGTTGCTCCACATTATCAGTTCATTAGGAAACATAATGACTATTTTTGATGGTACACTTTCAGTGGCAGAGATTTTGTATTCATCTGAGTATTAAAGGCACCCAATACACTCTGACTGCTGCATCTATCTATCTATCTATCTATCTATCTATCTATCTATCTATCAATCATTGACCCTTCTGGAGTCTTACTGCCCTGGGTGCATGCTGACTGCTAAAACCCATTCAGCATTGTGTCATTGAATACAATTATTGGTAACTGTGTCCACAGAGGATAAAGTTGTACCTTTTTATGAAGGCAATTATAAATGTTTCAATAAAATGTACACAGCAAAATTCCTAATTCCCTTTCAGGGGAAAATGTGTAAGAAAACATATACGGTTCCCATGAATATAGGGCCTCTTTTTATTTAATCTTGCTGGCTTTGTGTTTGAGTAGAATTTAAAACTGTGTTAGTAGGTTTCTAACCCATGCCTCAATATCTACACTACTATTATTATCTTCTTTAGCTCGATTAAAAGCTAGAATGAGTGTGTCTACCTGCGCTATAATCACACTTTCACTTGAACTGTAAACATAGCCTTATGCTGAATGCACAGCTCCATTAAAGTCAAAGGGAATTCAACAAGAGCTTCTGCTTCTACACAAGAATACAGGTTGAACCTCTCTGGTCCACTACTCTCTTGTTTAGCAACATCTGTGGTCCGGTAAGATTTTAGTTAGTCCGATGTCCACTTATCATGGGTGTGACCAAGTTTCCTGCAGTCTTATAAAATTTGTTTGTAGCTACCCAACCTCGCTCTCAGTTTTCTGTGCTGTTATTTAGCTCTAATTTACCCTTAATTGTCTTTTAAGAGCCCAGCAAGCAGTGGAAGTGTTGGAAATGCTGCTAGATAATATTGACTTTCCATGATTCAGAAAATACTCTGTTTGGCACCGGTCAGCTCCCAAGGGTGCCAGACTAGAGAGATTCAAACTGCAGTGCCACTGACTTCAGCAGGGTCGGGATCTCAGTCTTAGAATTCGTTAGCTAACATCTTCCAACATGATTTTATATCCTGAATGAGACAAACTGCCTGAGGCAGAAACTGTCTTTTTTATTACTTTTTTGTACAGTGCTGAACACAAGGGATTCCTGATCCTTGATTGTGGGTCCCTGATGCTACCATGATACAAATAATAATAGTAATTTGATTTGCAGTTCACAAGTGCCTGAAAAATCAGACACTTGTGTTACTAAAACGGTTCGTTGCCTAGAAATTAATGATATCAGTGAATTGTGGCTTCACATCCAAGTTCACTAAAGAATGTCAAACCCATGCTAACGCCTGTTGCAAAGAAATGTTCAAATTCACTTATCTCCAGTTTTTTCCAGAGCAATGAGGTAAAACTATAAAGTCTACATTCTAATGTAGCATGAGCCGTCTCTTCCCCCACTTTATTTTAAAATATAACAAAAAATAAAACATATATTCAAGACTAAGGCTACAAATTTCAACACACCAAAGTAAAAAAACAAAAAAGGAAACTGTATGTAATAATATTAAAGTAAGCCATTATTTGTACAAGAACTATGGATTTGGCAGTTTGTTTTAGAACACATATGATGTGAACAGAGCTGTAATAACTGTAACTTTTTCTTTTCCTGATTTTGTTTACTCTTTTGAAATAAACTGTGTATGTGTGCACGTGTGCATTGTGTGGTTTAATAAATCTCTGACAATCTCCATTTCATTTCCTGATTTAGTGCATTTAAATAGATAAAAGTGAATTAAAATAGTGGTTATGTAGTCCCTTGCCTTCCACAGTTACCAGAGAGGACCAAGATGTGTGGCAGCAAGGAGCTTAATAAATGTAGGACCTATTGGTCAGGGAGTTCACTACAGGTTGAACCTCCCTCATCAAGGCCTCTCTGATCTGGCAACATTCATGGTCCAGCAGGACCACAGATGTTGTTAGACCAAAGTGCCCCAGACACAGAGGTGGACTAGGTGGCAGAGAGCCTAGGGAGAAGCTGCCGCCCCATGGGGGGTGGAGGCAGAGAGCACCAGGAGAGGCTGCCATCTATAGTGGGGCCAGATGTGGGGCTAGGGAGCCCTGAGAGCAGTTGCCGCCCTGCTCAGGGCTGGGGACAGGGAGCTCCGGGAAAAGCCACAGGGCTGGAGGCAAGAAGCAGAGTCCTGCGAGTGGGCTATGGGCAACAGAGCCAGGGAGGTGGGCTAGAGGAGGTCACATCTCTGGGTTCTCCAGAGAGGCAACGAGGAGGGGAGCTCTGGGTGGGACTGGAGGTCTGATCTTCCCTGGTTTGGCAAATTTCTTTTTGGAGGGGACCGCTCAGATACCACGGGTGCCAGACCAGGGAGCTCCAACCTGTAGTAGCAGGTGAAGGCATGATTCTTTGTGTTCATGGTCTCACTGCAGAATTTATAGTAATAGCCCTGATTTTTGTACATTGCTTTGGGTAAATTAGGAAGACTTTAAACGCGATCAATCAGAATAGACTTGTGGCTTCATTTAAATCATACTGTGACAAAAAGTCCACTGGAACACAACACCATAAAAATTAAGGTGTCTTAAAAATTAAGAAAAATCCAAAGATAAATTATCAACTCATTCATGCAAGGGTGACAAAAATTCCAGGACCACATTTTTTTATTTTTATCCTGAACTTGGCTGTCAAGGTTACTCCCATTAAGAAAATGAAATTAAACATACTAGAAAGGGTAAAATGGAGGTAACACAGGTTTAAAGATATTTTGCAAAATATCATCCCTATCCCTCACAAATAGTTATATATTAATATACTCTTTTAACCTCAGACACAGCCCATTTTGTAAGACAAGAGTAGTTTTTTCCAGTGCCTTTCTGTTTTGCACATCTGTTGTGCATAGCCCAGACACTTAAGAGAGACCTTAGCATGACAGTTGTACACAATCAATATGAGAAATATGAATGATTCCTATAAAACAATCCCTTAAAGGGACACTGTCAACTCAAAATCTAGTCAATTTAAAGAAAATGAATTTAAAAAGTTGTTTCAGGGAAAACACCTGCTCCAGAGACTTGTGGCCAATTTTTGATCCCTTGTAGTTAAATATTCCTATGTGAAAAATTGTCTCTCTTTTCTGTTGCCATGTGAAAGACGCGGACAAAATCAAGGGAGACTGACTACCTGACTGCAGTGGAAAGGGAATATTTGTACACAAATGCACACTGTTTATAAATTGGGGAAATAATTTCCCAGCCCCCAATCTCTTCATTGTTACTTGTAACAAGCGTATGCAAATAATGTCTACGAAAAAATGTGTTTAAGTTGATAGAGTCACTGCTAGTGGAATTACTTATTTATGTTCAATGTGGGATTTTTCTTAAGCTGCAGACGTTAGAAGAAATTATTCACAAAACTATTAGAGAAAAATACATGGCACAAATCACATTAATCAATATAAAGAACTTGTTAAAAAGTAGAAAATTCAACATTTAACGACTCACTTCTCTAGTAGCAATGTTGTTTAATGCAATATTGTTCAAAACCTGGTATGATCACAGCGCTGTAAATGAAGGAGTTCTGTATCTTACCTGGAGTTTGAAAATTAAGGCGTCGCAGCTCCACTGGATCTGTGGGATGATGAGAAGGAATTTCCTTGCTGTTAGGTATACTGCTTTTTCTAGAGTCGGACTCAGCCCTCTTCCTGAAAGGTGAAAAGTAAACACACACACACAATTAAACTCCCAAGTGTTAATTACACAAATATACTTGTTTGACCTATTTGATCATTTGATAATGCTTCTTCTTAAGAATATTCAAAGTATAAGAAAACAGTTGGGTGCATTATATGGTTAAGGCAGCTATAATTCACATTGTTAAAAGAAATATAAACATGAAAATATTGGTTGGGAATAACTGCATTCAGCAATTGTTGGATCCTCTAGTTCATCATTCAAGGCACTAGAATAATTAACTGATATGGGATATGAATGCAAAACTTCAGGAAATCCACTTTGTCTCTTTCTTAAAAGCTAGCCACCTACCAGCTTTATTACATATATTTGTTTAAATCTTCATTATGTAACCTTTAACAACATATGATGGTGCTATATTTGCTCTCTTCTTGTTTTAATATGAACGGCTCTGTACTCTTTTATTTATGAATAGCTTTTATTCATTAGGCACTTTCAAGGTTGCAGATAATATATCAGAACACTGTTCTTTTCTAAGAAGTAAGAGCTTAATTCTCAGCATTTCAGCTCTGTAATATGGTGAGTCACAGAACACCCATGGCTCCAATCTCTTGCATATTCACAGGCCGGATGTCAATGTAAATGCTTCTGATCAAATAGGGGCAGGATTTTCAAAAAGTGCCTAAGGAATTAGGCAACCAAGTGCTATTGCCTTTCAATGGAATTTTGTTGCTCTCAAAACAAAAACAAACAAAAAACCCCCACTCCATAAATGCAATGGGCTGAAGAGACAGAAAAGGTCCTGTAGGTCCCCTTTGCCTCAGAAATATGAAATCTTTCTGCTTTCCAGGGTTTGTTGGTCTCCTGTAAGAATGAGCTCCTATTGTCTGAGAGTTTCATTCTCTGAAGTCAGACAAGCAGAAATGTATTGGCGTTCAGAAGGCCGGCTGTGTTGGAGTGTTTAGAAGCGAGGATGAAGGTGGCAAAAGGCCAAATTTCAAGAAACATAGACGTGGTGTATGTGTACGAGTTATTATGCCTATATCTCTCAAGTATCTTGCATTTTATTTGACATCGTGCTATAGGGCCATTTTCCTGATGAGGGTTTACAATGAGGGTGCTATATCCTTTATGGACATACTCTTAACAGTTTAACTTCATGTCTTCTCTGTCCATGTGTAACAGACAAAGCAGTGCATGGTAAGGCTGATTAGAACATGATTTTATATGATTGGAAACAGCGCGTGGAGTGATGAGGCAGGAGGGAATATTATCAATTTCAGCTATGGACTAGCATCTCTATTGTGGATAACCCTATCCGCTGGGCTACTCGGGAACCCAACCCTCCTCCCTACCTTCTGGGCACCCCTTATCCTGCTTTCCAAGTGCTAGAGCAAGCTCCAGCTCTGGAGGAGCCTGAGTTGGCTATTTGGTTGCTTCCAGGATGGGTTGGGAGGACGAGGCTTGAGCCCACCCCCCTGCTCTTCCCAGGCAAATGCCCTATCCCCATGGCCACTCATGAATCTATATCTTGCACTTGTAGTTGCTATTGACAGATATACAACTCCCCTAGCAAGACAAAATTTGCACAGATTTAATTTCTATTCTGGTTGTCTTTGTGTTCTGTGCAAATTGTGTGTTAATCTCATAAGCTCTTGAAGCATGAAACCACTGTTAACTTCAGTGGAAGTCTGATATGCAGAAGACTTTCAGGATCAGGTGGAGCATTAACACAAACATAAGGCAAGGGGCTGGCAGAAATAAGCTATTTTTGTGCAATTTTGTATAAATCAAATTGTTCTAGAGTTTTGGGGCAAGACTCTTCCTACTCCAGAAAATATGGCTATTCCCTCTCTTCAGTGAGGGTACATGAAATTCAGCCTGTTTTGCTTAAATTGTTTCGAGAGGGATGAAGAATGGATCCCTGCCAGCAACCCTACATTCTTCTACTGTAGCTCCCCTCAGTCACGAAGGCAACAGGTTGTGGCAGTCCGAGGGAGACTTTGTTCACTCTGGAACAACAGCTCTGTTGATAACAAAGAGTCACTTGCAAGGAGTTTGAGGTGCTGCTTTTTGCAGGGGTTAAATTAATTGTCCCAAAATCAACCCTAACCACTGCCAAGCCACAGAGCCTAGAATTCCTTGCCTGCACAACCATGTACTGCTCCACCAGAATCAAGGTGATTTGTCCCAAGCCTTGCAAACTATTACCTGTGTCCAAAACATTGTTTTGCCACTTATTGGCCATTCAGTTGGTCAAGCTGTGTGGGTATCAAAATGCTTTGTATGTACAACAAGCCCCAGACTTCTCTGGGTTCACAGAAGTGATTGAGTGCTAGTTAGCCTACTACAGACACACAAAAAGCTGGGACTTGTAAGGAAATACAGTAATTCCCTGCTTAACATGTGCCCATTTAACACATTGCCCCTGGCCAGAGGGGGTCACCGGGGAACTGTGGGGCAACCGGCAAACCTCCACCGCTTTGTAAGGAGGCAGAAGAAGCCCTGTGCAGTTCCCTGGTGACCACTCACCGTGCAGTTCCCTGGTGACCCCCTCTGGCTGGATGCCTTGTGTTCAGCCACAGAGGGTCACCAGGGAACTGCGCTTTGTAAGGAGGCAGACGAAGTCCCGCGCAGCTGCCGGTGACCAGCCAGCTGGGGAAACCCAGCCGCCAGCTGCAAGTGGGGGGCAAAGGAGAGGGAGCGAGGCATCCGGCCAGAGGGGGTCGCCAGGGAATGGCGCGGTGAGCGGTCACCCTCCGGAGGCAGGGTAACCCCAGCCACTGGCTGCAAGCCCCCTCCCCTGTCCTTCCCTTCCCTTCACTAGAGCCAAACCCCTCCCCTTCCTGCTATAACCCAGTCCCCTTTCTCCCCCAGCTTTATGTCCCGGTCTCAACTGCTAACAAATGCATGTTGGAGCTGCAAGCTCACGTGCCCTTCAAACGCACCCCCCAACTTTCCCATTATTTTCAATGGGAAAATTGACCCCACATAGCATGTTTTCACTTAGCACGATCATTTTCTGAAACGTATCTACTGTGTTAAATGAGGAATTACTGTAGTTCACTTGAACTGTCTTCCAGAACTGTGAAGGGTACAGTGTCCTTAAATTTTTATCAGGTTAAACCAAACAGACCTCAGATTGGTATTACCGATACGGTTATAAAGCCAGACTCTGCCATCATTAATCATAGTGGGAGAAAAGCTGGGGCAAGTGAAATTAATGGGAATTTTGCCAGGATATCATCCATTCAGTAGTACCTCACTCAGCAAGTGGCCCCAACGATGAATAAAAAACTACACAGAGACCCATACAACTGCACATTTTGCTTTGTGGAATCAATGGAACTACTGACAAGTTGGAACTAGTCAGCATAGTTAAGGTGACATTATTAAATTCTTAAGAGCTGGACAATAAGTATGGGTGGCAAAATTGAGGGCTCGGGGATTAATGTAGAAGGTCTCAAGTTCTATAAGTTCTACACCTTTTCTTTATTTAAAAAAGGATTTGGTGACCTTCAGTGAATCACAGAGGTGCCATCAAAATTTTAAAGTAACTTGTGCTATGCAAGGCCTTGTGTGGACAGACACAGAACATTCTGCCCCATAACCACCTGACTATATGCTTCCTAAAGAACTCTATGCCTCAATGCCCTCACTTCTCGTATTTTTTTAGACATGCAGTTTTATTTACAAAAATAAATACTTTCATTGAAAAAAGGAGGTAAAACAGATTTTCATGAACATTCAGTTAAGTAAATCCCACTGGACTAAATTTCTAGAGGAGCTCAATCTAACTTCATAAAGTATGTGTTTTTTTAACATGCAAAACTGTTATCTGGGAGAGCAAATAGAAATTGCCTACATAAACTTGGTAGCAAGACTTTGAGTTACTTGAGTTGAATCTGCAGATTTTGGGAGCTGAACTATTAGTTCATTACATATGCAAAATCACTGCTAATTTAGTACTAAATCCATTAATATTTTACGTTGATTTGTACACTCTGTTTTCTGCAGACAAAACAAGCGTGTAATATTTCTTTCAATTGTTAAGAAGCATTTTTATTTATATCTGGTGCTCTTAAAAGTGACAGACTAGTATAACGTCCTAGAGGCATACATAATTTGCTTTTTCCACATATAGTTCTGCTAGTGCATATCAACCCTGACCTGTACAAACTCCCCATTTCTATATTAAAAAGCACTACCGTATCATACAATAATAACTGCAAATGTTATAGTAAACATAAATAGCCTCAAATGCTATCATAACTCTAAAACTTCAGTATTTGAGGGTACTTACCGTAGAATTATATATTTTGTTTCTTTACTTTAATTACAGTTATTTTAATTTTGTCTCTCTCTAGACCAGAGAATGCTACAGTAATTGCATCAGATTTTGAGGGTTAGGAGAACTATCCACTAAGGGTCAGAATGAGATCATCAATTTATTTTTCCTTGTGACCTACTGTAAGTAAGGATTGCATCCAGGCTGTTAAAAGTGAAAAACTAATGCACTAACTCATTATAATACATAATTTCCCAAGTCTTCTGCAGCTCCATTTTCAGATGTGAACACCATTTTAAAAATGAGCAAAAAACGTTCATAAATTGATTTGTACTATCACCTGAAACTGTAACTGAGGATAATATGAGATATGGAAAAAAACCCACTTTATTTTAGTTTAAAGATGATACACTGCTATAAATGACTCATGCCTTTTCAGTGTTGGAAACTCAATAAAATATCTAGAGTGCTATTAGACTGTCTTTATATTTTATATCTATCTGCCCAAGATTATTTAGACTGACAGACATTCTGTTTTAAATCACCATCACGATAAACGCTCTATACTTTTTTCTCTTTTGGTGTAAATAAGAAAGCAATTGTTCTTCACTTCTCACCTGTCAGGTTTACTGCTCCATTTTAATGCAGCAAAGATGGGAGAAAAGGTTAAATGTTAGTTGGCCAATGGCAAGAAGAGTAACCATGACAACAGTAGAATCAGGAGATGGTGGTTTATAGTGAGGACACATAACTTACATAAATTACTAAATGACAGCTCATCAAAACATTTAATGCCTTTTAATCATGGAATAAATGGAGGACACAAGGTTAAGTTCAAAGAGTCTTTTGCTGCTTAAGAAAAGTCTTTTGCTGCTTAATACATTTTTGTATTAATATCACATTCCCTTTTGGTCATCACCTACAAAATAATGCCACAATCAATTACATCCCAGAAGGTTGCAGATGCTGGATATATATTTGAATTTTACTTACAACCCGCAGAAAGACTTTAATTTAACCTGAGTACAGTGAAGTTCAGTGTAAATTTTTTTTATTAAAAAAGACTAAATGGATGAGATGTTCTTATAGAGTAACAAAGATTTGCAGTAAATTGTAAAGTTTTTAGCCAGTTTTATGCAACTATGCAATAAAATGTGAGAAATTATTTTAAAAATTCTCTTGACATATAAAGTAATCCTAAATCTTTCTCTAATAAAGTATGAAATACCTTTTGTTCTAGAAGGAATAGCTCATCTTAGATCTATAGTGCATGACCTATAAAATGTATGGAACTGGAAAAGTACTTTATTTGTAGCCACTAACAGGTCAGATAATTGAAACTATTCACAAACACTAGCAATACAGTGTTTGTCTATGCATTATTACAAATAATGTGGAGTGCTACTCAGGCTATACTGCTTGGAAGCTACAGCGATCCTATTACTTACAATGGATACTAGAACCTTTATAGCGTCCTGCATTATAAAGTCCCTCCATTGCCGTTCCCCCACTTAAAAGAATATTAGTTACTATGGCTCAAACCCAGAGGTCCTTACTAAGTTTCTATTCAGTTCTTACTACTTCTTGCCAAACCCCATTGGGTTCAAAAGGATTTAATCTAACATTCCAAGCCTCTGAGCAGATTCACACAGCTGCCATTTAAACAAAAATCAACCTGCCAAAGAAATGTTTCCTTCTTTCTCCTAAATATGGAATGCCTTCCAGAGACAAGACTGAGAAAAGAGAGTTCCACTATGAGCAACATCCTTCTTTGCAACCATCATAGGTTTAAAGTTATGTGAACTTTCAGAAATGCAGAAAACAGATATAGGAATTTAACACCAGTGAAAGTTGATATTCCAGCAGGATATATAACTTCTTTCTAGCCCTGGCAAATCTTGAGATACTGCATAATTTAGAGATCTCTAACATTTATTAATTAATGTATTCTTCTCTATGTGGCCAAATTTACAAGTCATCCTTCTTTTCTGAGGGGTGGGGGAGGGAATCATACTCATTTCAGCTCTACTCTGATGAAATGTTTATCCTTTGGTGCTCTAGCATATTTATGCAGCTCTATGCATTGCTGAAGACAAAGCCAATATTCTACTCATTCTCAGTACACCTGCACAGGACTGGGAGTCATGCAGGATGCTTTTTCTTCCTCACTTCTGTAGGTACCTGGCTCTTTGATGTAAGAGGGGTGCCTTATGCTCTGGTACTACTCAGTGTGGTTGCACAAGACGGACTCTGATGTGACTATAAATGAGTAAAAGGAGAGTTTAAAGTTGTATAATGTACCACTTGCACCTGGACATATACATTTCATCACTTTAGTTTCCCCCTGGATTTCTCTACACTAAATTCACAGTGAATTTAACAACACATAACTATATCCCCACCCATCCAATTTATCACAGAATATAGGTAAGGGAATCTAAGAAAATGTAAAACAAAAAGAGGCCATAAAATAAACTAGCATCTGAGGGTATGTCTACACTACCCCGCTAGTTCGAACTAGCGGGGTAGTGTAGACATACCCCCAGATTAGCATAAGCGGGGAGCCGCCATTTTTAAATCCCCGCTGCTTCGAACCCCGTGCAGCGCGGCTACACGGGGCTCGAACTAGGTAGTTCGGACTAGATGCCTATTCCGAACTACCGTTACTCCTCGTGAAACGAGGTGTACCGGTAGTTCGGAATAGGCACCCTAGTCCGAACTACCTAGTTCGAGCCCCGTGTAGCCGCGCTGCACGGGGTTTGAAGCAGCGGGGATTTAGAAATGGAGGCTCCCCGCTTATGCTAATGAAGCCCGGGAAATTCAAATCCCGGGCTTCATTAGCAAGTGGGGTATGTCTACACTACCCTCCTAGTTCGAACTAGGAGGGTAGTGTAGGCATACCCTTATAGTGTTGTGTTAATTAATTATACGTAAATCTTTGGAAATTTTTGGTGAAGTTCTGATTTCTTCTGCTAGTTTCTCTTTTGTTTGAATCAAAAAATAATTGTTCTCTTAAGAATATAGCAAGAAAAGCAAGGGAAAAAAGTTTTGTCCAGTTAATTCTCTATAGACTACCAAATCCCAAAGCTGGGAACTTCTATTCAGAATGTTTACAGACTCTTCTCAGTAAGATCCTCTCCCTTTCAGTAAGGTTATGGAGCGATTACTATTGCTTCTATTATTGCATGATAATTCAATTGGGTTTACAACCAACTTAAGGCACAGCTCTTTTTTCTATATTTTAATTTCTCTTCATATGGGACCTGTTCCAAACCCTAATAATTTTTGTTGCCGTTTACTGAACCTTTTCCAATTCCAATATAACTTTTTTGAAATGAGGCGATGACATCTGTACATACTATTTAAGATGTGGGCAAACCATGGTTCTATACAGAGGCAATAAGATGTTCTCTGTTTTATTCTAGATCCCTTTTTTAATGATTCCTAACATTCTGTCTGCTTTTTTGACTGTCGCTGCACATTAAGTGGATGTTTTTAGAGAATTATCCACAATGACTCCAAGAGCTCTCTCTTGAGTAGTTATAGCTAAACTAGTCCCCATCATATTGTATGTATCGTTGGGATTATTTTTTCCAATGTGCATCACTTTACATTTACCAACATTAAATTTCATTTGCCATTTTGTTATCCAGTCACTTAGTTTTGTGAGATCTTTTTGAAGCTCTTCACAGTCTGCTTTGGTCTTAACTATCTTGAGCAGTTTAGTATCATCTGCAAATGGTTCCATCTCATTGTTTACTCCTTTCTCCATATCATTTTTAAATAGGTTGGATAGGATAGGTCCCAGTACAGACCCTTGGGCGACCCCAATATTTACCTCTCTCCATTCTTAAAATTTACCATTTATTTCTCCCCTTTGTTTCCTGTCTTTGAACTAGTTATACATCTATGAGAGGACCTTCCCTCTTATCCCTTGACAGTTTACTTTACTTAAGAGTCTTTGGTGAGGTACCTTGGTGCAAGTGCTACATTATATCTACTGGATTCCCCTTGTCCACATGTTTGTTGACCCCCTCAAAGAACTCTAGTAGATTAGTAAGGTATGATTTCCTTTTACAGAAACCATGTTGACATTTCCCCAACAAATTATGTTCATATATGGGCATGTCTAAACTACAGTCCTCTTTCGAAAGGGGAATGTAAATGAAGCAAATTGAAAGTGCAAATGAAGTGTGGATTTGAATATCCCATGCTTCATTTGCATCAGAGCGCTTTTTCAAAAAAGGGTATTTTGAAAGTGAAAACACAGTCTAGACAAGGTTCTTTCGGAAAAAAAACCCTACTCCTGATTTAGTGTCTGACAATTTTATTATCCTCACTAGAATTTAATTTCCACTTTTTAAACAATGCCTTTTTATCTCTCACTGCTTCTTTTACTTGGCTGTTAAGCCATGCTGGCACTTTTTGGTTTTCTTAATGTGTTTTTTAATTTGCACTCAAGTTTATGATCAGATTCCAGTCTTAGTAAATGGTTATTGGTATTTCTTTAATACTAGTGTATAGGAATGTATAAACATACATGACCAAACATGTATATACATATATATATACACATGTATATACATACATGGTCTGCATTCAGGGGGCACAACTCTGATTACTTTTAGGCACATGAGAATTGTGTGTGTTTACACCAGGATTGAATGTAAACACATTGCACATTACTATTACAATATTACATAAGTATGTAAAGAAAGTGAAATGATTATATGGTTGCACGAGTACACATACATTATGACATCATATATGTAGTAGCCCAGTGTCTGTGCATCTGTAATACTGACATACACAGCCATGCCCCCTTTTCCCTATCCCCAATATATAATAAATGGAAGAAAGGGAAAATTAATTGTAATGAATATATATCAGAAGCTAAGAATTGTAGAACATTAATATGGGAAACAAAAAGAGGAATCTATGGCCGGTAGCGTTAAAGACAGTAAGGAGGGTTTTTTTTAAGTATACTATGAACAAAATGAATGCTAACAAAGGTGTCTTAATAGACAGAAATGATATAATTGCCAACAATAATGCAGCAAAGACAGAAGTCATCAATTAATATTTCTGTTCTGCATTTGGAGAAAAAAAACAGATGGTGTAGTTGTATCATTTGAAGAGGAAACTTTCCATTCCACTAGTATCTGTGGAGAATGTTAAATAGCTGTTACAAAAATTATATGTTTTAAAATCAGCAGATCCAGATACCTGACATCAGAGACTGCACAAGCAGCTGGCCAAAGAGTTCACCCCACTCCATTTTCAATAACTCTTGTAGGAACCAGGAAGTTTCAAAAGATTGGAAATCAATGCTGAGCCAATATTTGACGAGAATAAATGGGATGATCCAAGCCTGTCAGTGTGTTATCAATCTTGGACAAATTAATGGAGAAGGTGATATGGAACTCGATTAATAAAGCCTTCCCCAATCAACATGGGTTTATAACAAATAGATCCTGTCAAACTAACTTGATTTTTTTAAATTAAATTACATGTTTGGCCGATAAAGCTAATAGTGCCGACTGGAATAACTTAGCTGGTCTACGTGAGGGAGTTATTTTGAAATAACAAGGGGAGCGTCCGCACTACCGAGCCTGTTATCATATAGAGAGAAGCCCATTGTCTGTGAGTCTGTAACGCTGACGTACACGGACATGCCCCCTGGCCATGTACGTCAGCCCCCCGCCCCCCTTCCCCTCTCTCTGTGGCAGCTGGGCTGAGTGCTGAGTGCTGTGCCCCTCCGCCAGGCCCCCGGGGGAGCCAGCAGCGCAAGGGGCTCTTTGGGCTCTCCCGGAGTGGGAGGGGAAGAGAGGGCGGTGATGTACATGGCCCCGGCCCCAGCCATGTACGTCACCACCCCGCCTCTGTCCCTCGCGGCAGCCTGGCTGAGCAGGCAGCACTCAGCCAAGCGCCACGGCAGGGGGGAAAGGGAAGAGGAATGGGGGCAGGGAGAGACGGAGGGGAGAGAGAGGCAGGGGGGGGGGGGGAGCTGGGAGAGAGGGGGGGGGGCAGGAGAAAGAGAGAGAGAGAGAGAGAGAGAGAGAGAGAGAGAGAGAGAGAGAGAGAGAGAGAGAGAGAGAGAGAGAGAGAGAGAGAGAGAGAGAGAGAGAGAGAGAGAGAGAGAGAGAGAGAGAGAGAGAGAGAGAGAGAGCGAGAGCGAGAGAGCTCAGGAGAGAAGACCTGAAAATCCCGTCTTATGACGGGCTAATTGGCTAGTATATTTATATAAAATACAAAAAGATTTTTTATACTACAAATGGTAATACCGTGTCATAAGCAAAAGACCCAATCCTAATCACTGTAACTACAGCGAAAACTACAGGGAAAATTCAAAGTATCTTTTCACTTCTATAGACTGTAGAATATGGCACACTAACTTTTTATCTGACACCACTGTATCTTAAAATAACCAAAATGTCAAAAAGTCACCCTAGTTTAAAAAGAACTATTTGGTAAACTTACCTTTTATAAAGAAGGATAGCTATAACAATACAGATGATAAACACCACTGCGAGAACTGGTCCTACAACCCAAATCAAGCCTTCTTCTTCATCTGTAATTGGCTGAGGATCAAGATCCATTGACACAACAGGATCCGAATATGGGCTGGTTGCATACATGGTCTGTAAGAAAATTGATCCTATTTACCTACTGGTAAGTGACGAACATGACCAATAGCTGTACTAGAACTAAATAAATGTACATGGATTCGAATGGCATTATAATACACATTATTATTCAAATTTTATATTATAGAGCTTAAAATGTAAATAGTTTATTATTAATTATTATTATTATTATTATTATTACTGTTTTATTTCTGTTGTACCAAAAGTGTGATAGGTTATATACAGTGAAAAGGAGGAAACAAGATCTCCGCCCAGAAGATTTCATAGTTTCAGTGGGAAATGAAATAATGAAGAACTGGGGTGATGATGTAACAAAAGAAAGCAACTGACTAACAAAATACAGCGTATGATTTGTTTGTTCATGTCTTTGTTTTGTTGGCACTGCTGAGAGGGCAAGAAGGAACAGGTGTTTAAATGCTTCCTTGAAGAGATGCGAAAGACCTGGATAGCAAAGAGCAGAGTTATTCAGTACAGTGAGGAAAGCAGCATTAAATATAGGGATTTGCTGCTCCACTGGAGATAGTAGCATGCAGCTTGGTCAGAAACAAAAGGACAAAGAGGAGGGTGCAGAAAGGCAATAAGAGGAGATAAGTGGGTTAGGAATGTGAAGGCAAGGGGAGCAACAAGGTAGAGAGGCTGGATGTAGACAGAGTGGTATAAAAGCCAAATGACTTAAAAAGTAATGTAGCTGAGATATGCTGAAAGCGGGACAAAGGCTCAGCAAAGAATATGGACAGAAAGACAGATTAAGGAGATGTTGTAGAGACAGCGGTCTACTATAGGAAAAAAGAAATAGAAAGGAGTCACCAATAACAAATTCAGAACCTGTAGGAATAAGTACAGGACGTTGTGGTGAGGGGGGTGTTATAGCACCTCCAGGTTTTGAAGATATCGATCCAGTATCCTTGCCACCAAGAGGCCCAGCCCTAGCCCCGGGCCCAGGGAGGCTCAGCTGCCATCTTAGGAGATGCCTACACAGCAACATTATTTCAAAATAACTTAGCCCGTGTCTACACAGCAGGCAGTTATTTTGAAATAATGTTGAAATACTGTCAAGCTGGAGGACTTCTTACGCCAACTCCTGTAACCCTCATTGTGGGAGAAGTAAGGGAAGTCAGAGGAAGAGTGCTCTAGTTTGAATTAATTGCTGTGTAGATGCTCCCAATTTCGAAATAAGCTACACAACTGACGTAGATCAATTTGCATTAAGCCCAGCTATGTAGAAGCACTCTTAGGGTCCAGCTCAGCCACTTGAGCCCAGGCTCTGATGCTAGTTCCAGGGTCCTGCCTGGTCACCAGCCCTGTGCCCAGGGATCCTGCCTGGCTGCTGGCCCCATATGCAGGGTTCCAGCTGATGGCCCTGGGGTCCTGCCTGGCTATCAGCCCCAACCCTAGGGTGCAGTGAAGCACATGGACAGAGATGAGGAGGATACAGCTCAGAACGCACATTTCAAAAACTGTTCCATCTCCACTGTTCCAGCTCCATTTGCTGTTGCTTTTTATAACATGTTTTTTTCTAAGGGTACGTCTAGACTACCGCGTTTCGTCGACGGAAGTTTTGTCGACAGATACTGTCGACAAAACTTCCGTCGACAAAGAGCATCCAGACACATTGAGTTCTGTCGACAGAAGGTGTTATGCCTCGTAAAATGAGGTATACCAGCGTCGACAAAACTGCTGAGTTCTGTCGACGTTATGTCGACAGAACTCAGCGGTAGTGTAGACGCTGGTATAGTTTTGTCGACAAAAGTCCACTTTTGTCGACAAAACTCCGCTTTTGTCGACAAAACTAGGTAGTCTAGACACACCCCAAGGTATGAAGAATTGTTTAATCATCTGAGTCCCATTGTTCTGCTTAAAGGAACCCTGACCTAGATAATTTTTTGCTTCAAAATTAATAGAAATTGCAGGAAATTCTGCTATTGCAATATTACTTTGCCTTCAGCCTCTCTTCAGACTCAAAGGCTGAAACAAAAGGTGATGTCTAGAGTGTAAGGATTTGATAACAAGCTACCCTATGGAAAGAGATAAGAGGTCCTTAATGTTCAACTTTTACCTACAGACACAAGCCCACTGATAGGAGGTGCAGAGGGAAATGGGGCAGTTGTCACAGGGCCTGGTGATTGAGAAGGTGTGGGGGCTCCCATTTAAGGCTGCCGCTGTTACTGTGGTAGCAGCAGCAACCCAGGGTCCCTTAAATCACTACCAGAGCACTGCATGGTGCAAAATGGGCAGTTATAAAGACTAGGGGACCCAACACGGTGAATTCTAGGCACTGCTGAGGGCTGGCTGCCTCAACCCTGCTCCCTCTGCCAAAGACCCCACTCCTTCTGGGAGCACAGAGGCCTGTTCCACTTTGCCAAGGGGCCCAGCAAGTCTGTCATTCCCCCCGTATAGCATTGCTAATTGTTAATTTTTCAGACAAATCTGCTTGCTGATTACATGTAAATGCTTAGAGTTCTGTGCCAGAGAAAAGTGGTACTGAAAATTATGCCTTTGCAGAAGAAATATTCCATTAAAGCCCACGATTTCAACTCTAGCAGGCTCTGGAACCCTAAAAGGGGAACAGATGTACTGAGAACAGAAAACAATGGAGCATGGAAGGTAGATGCTCATTTATTCAAACTTTCTTCCTTTCCCAAGGCAAGATCCACAACTACTCACCCCACAAAATCCCTATTGCAGGTTTTGAATACCATGACAAAACAAACTTTTGTCAAGATTAATTTGCCACTGACTGCTTTACAGCTTGTACAGCTATGAAGGCCACAGATATATTCCGTTATATTAGATTTTTTTAAGTTATAAAGTTCCAAACCAAATCTTTTTGTGTTCATTTATCTTTAAGGCAGTCACAGTCCCAAAATCAACGTTAGACATTATTGCCTTAGTTAATATACAAAATTTCAGAAGGAGCAAAACTTTGCAAAGAAAAGATTGAATCTTAGTATGGGTAATTTGTGAGTATAGCTTTTAAGGTACCTAACTTTCAACCTAAAAGCTGTCCTATTTTTCAGCTTTAACTTTTAATGACATGAAGCTTATGCTTAATTCACAAGGCTACTGGCTCTTCTATCACTAACTGTAAATCATCATTTAGTCCTTCTTTTTGGTTGACTTTTCAGTGACATGTAGAACTTTACTAATTAACAGATTTTCCATTCCATTGTCACAGTCTTTGAAATCACTGTAAGACAAAAACTGGAAAAGGGAAACTTTTGTTCTATGATGATAATGAAGGACTGAGCCATCGATCAATAGAGCTCCCATGCTACTGCTGGTGAGTGACTAAGCTAATCCTCAATCAGCAAATTTGATCACAGATATTACATAAAAATCCACCAGATGTGGGTGCTGTGCAATCTTTTTAGTTCATATGCTTTTCTTGTACTGTCTGGATATGCTGACTCTCAGAAGGGTTTGACAGCCTGTGTAATAGTTTGCTGCTAAAACAATCAGTCCTGGGCTACAATTTCCAGATCATTGTATGATATACTGCATGACTTCACATTAGCCTTTAAGATATCTTCATAAGGCTTATACTGACTACCAATAGAGTGCTTTCCAGGAACACGCTGGCTGTAGAACACCATCTTCATATCTACGTGTTTGTTCATAAACATTGTTTCCAAGCCCATGACACAATATAGCTTACGCACCTTTGTGTTTGGAATTTTGTTCCACTAATTCACTTGGGCGATCTTCCTGAGGCCACGCATATGAAAGAGATCAAGTTTTGAAATATAGCGACAATATATGGTCCATGATCTGAACTATATAGCAGGATAGTCAGGACAACTGCTTGATAAACTGCTACCTTTGTATGAAGTTTAACACCATGGTCATTCGGTCAATTTCTGGAAGGCAGCGCTGGCCTTCACTAGTCGAGTAGTTACATCAATGTTTATATTGGAGGACAATATGCTTCCAAGATAGCAAAACTTGTCAACAGTCTTAAGGACAGTATTAGCAGCAGTGATCACTGGAGTGTTGGGCTCTGAACACACTGGAGTGTTGTGAGCCTGAAGTCTTCAGTGTTTGAAAATGCTGCCATCAGTTTGGAACTGAATGTGTATGTCCAACTCACAATCCATGAAAGCAACTAACAGCACTGTAGAAAAATAGATGCTGAACAGAACAGGAGCAAGGACACATCCTTGCTGTGTACCATTTGATATTTCAAAAGGTACTTATGTCTCTCCACTGTCGAGGATGTGACCCAGTATACTATCATGAAAGGACCAAATTACATTGATAAATTTTTCAGGACAGCTAATTTGCCCAAGTATCTTCCAAAGCCCATTTCTGTTGACTGTATCAAACACCTTTGTCAAGCTGATGAAAATCATGTATAGATCCTGATATTGCTCTCTATTTTTTTTCTTGATTCTGCCTGACTGCAAATATCATGTCGGCAGTGCCTTGACCTGCAATAATGATGCAATTTGTGAACACATGTAATGACAGCAGATTGTATAGGACGTGAGCCTGGATCTTACTCAGGGTGGTGGATAGAGGAAGCCATCCACAGAGAGACTGATCTATATTATAACATCCTCAAAGCAGTTATTCCTTCTTCAAATGAACCCACAAGGGATAAGCAGACTAACTAGAACTTCCTCCTTGTTTTCAATTGATCATATAAGGCATTGACAAACCCAGAAAGTCTTTTGACTTGACTTTGGATTACTGCTACAGTAGGTTCAACTGGTTGAGCCCAGCAAATGTATTTGTCAAGTTTAGGAATCAATTAGAAATAGACCATGCAAAATACTGTATGTTCAAATGTTAATGTATGAAGCAGCATATTTTCACAATCACATTTCTATCTTTGTTTAATTATATTTTAACTGTATTACTTGCAGCTAAAACAACTGAAGCATAAAGGGACATAAGAACAAGATGAATTACATAATGGGAAGAGACAACTCATTATTTAAATCACCTCAGGAATTTTGCTTATTATTCCATTATTTTCTAACTTTCTTGCATTTCACTGATAAAGTTTGTAGCAATTTACTATAATTGAAGAAGCAAGCTGTGCATGTCCCTGATTAGATAGATTCTTTCAAAGATTTTTGGTAACAAACACCATTGTCTCAATGGTAGTCTTCAGGCAAGAAAGGAACATTTTTTTGTAGGCATTGTGAAAGATATTGCTGTGAAGCTCATGCCTCAGTAGTTTCATCACAGATCACAAGAAGCAAGGCCTGTAATTTGCAAAGGATCAGAACAGTGCTAATGAGTGGTGATCTTTATCCTTCAGCTACAGAAGCAAATACATTAAAGTGTACCCAGAATGATTACCATCTAGCCTGAGATCACTGGAAATAAGCAAGGGAAAACAGACATGTGAAAAGCACTAACATACCGTGAAAGAAATTGACCTTATGTGAGCGGACAGAGGAGTGATTGTACAAACAAACAATATACAAAATAAGTGAAGGTAAACTTCAGAATGAAAACAACAGCAAGACCATACAGCCAACTTACAGATTCAGAGTGCTCCATTACAGCCAAAACAAAGAAGACATATTCTTGACCGCTTTGGAGTTGCTTATTCTCAAAACCACCATACTGCTTTTTATCCCCCAGGGTGAACTCAGTAGGTAGAACTTCAAAGTGAGCTGCAATGTATGGCTTTAATTCAACTTCTCTTCCAAAACGAATGCTTCTGCCTGGATTAGATAAAAATCATTGATTAACAAAAGGAGAGTGAAAGAAAGAGAAAGAAAGAGAGAAGAGAAAGATAACTAAACAGTATTAATACGACTTATGTACAGTTTATTGGCAAAAATTAATTCAGGATCCAGAACTACCAAAATACCATTTATCTTCATCTCATGGTGTATGTCAGTATCACTAAATCTTGATTCTTGCAATCCTTAATTTTTTGGCCTTTCCTGTTAAGATTCTGAATTGCAATTGTTCTGCTCATATTATAAACACAGGCCAACTAGATCAATTTTCAGTGCCTAATATCACTGTCCATGTGAAGAAAACCTTACAGAATTAAGTCCTAGAATACATTGCACCCTGTCTATGAAAATAAAGCCAATTTGTTGCATAATAAAATTTTTCATTTGTATGCAGCAGCCACACTGTGATCTCCAACTTAATACAGTGAATCCCAATAAATCAAATCAACTTCCCTTCGAGGAAGGAATATTGAAAATAATACAAACTTGAAAAATAATCTAAACCTGTGAAACTCAAGGTCATTACCTAGATTTAATTTTTCATGGAGACTTTCTAAAATGCAACCATTATATTTCTAACACTATTTAGTAATAGGAAGAGTTTAGAAAATGAATATTGACAACATCCTGTTTCATAAAATAGTCCATTGGATTTCTATAACACCTTTCATCTAAGGCTCTTCAAGAATTTTACAATAATAAATGTCACAACCCTCCCCACCCAGTGAGAAAGGTATAATTAAATTTATTTAAGGATAAGTAAGTGTAGGCAGAAAAAGGTTATGGACATGGTATCTAGATGCACATCACCCACAATTTCAACTGAAGACAATAAACATTTCAGATGCTCATCAGCACTAAAATAAGGCTCTTTAAACAATTTATTGAAGGTCATGCAGCACTTTAATAGGAGAGCCAGGAATTGGGCACCGGAGTCCTGACACCCAGACCATTTTCCATCATAAGAGTTAAGCAGCAGGATTTAACATAATCAGTGGAGACAAACTTTGTAGCCAGCCTCTCAAAATATAAACTTTCTTTACCCCATTAAATATTTAAATTTGATGAACAAAGCCAATAGGGCATCTGGTAGCAAGATTAAATAGTAGCTCATGTTTGTTTATCTACTTGTTTGTTTATATAGTTTTGAGAGTTTGTAAGTCTGTCTCTCTGTTTGTTCAAGAATTCCTCTTAAACAGTAAGAGCTAGGACCACCAAATTCAGGATACAGCTTCTTCTTATCATAACTTAAAGCAAAGTAAGGGTTTGGTCATGTCAGGAAAATGGGATGTTCCTGGAATGGGATTGCTTCTCATAAAACCACACAGAAAAGAGACAGAATCACCAGGAAGGTGAAAGGGTTTGGCTGGGAGTGCACCACCCCCTGATTCAGGATTTCCCCAGCTCTGAGCCTCCCACCCCCACTGGCACTCTTCAGGGAGGCCAGGGGGGCTGAAGCTCCCCCCTTGATTTATATGGGAACACTGCTGGCTGTTCTCCTTTGTCAGGGACCAAGGGGAAAGTGCTGCATTCTTCACTCTGTCTAGGGAGAAGGGGCAGACAAAAATGGACTTTTCCCAATCAGAGGACATGTACCCCTCCCTGGTTGTGCCTGCTGGAAATGCAGTAGCCATGGAGAGACACTTCCCACCTGACTCCAGCCCTCTCCTCCCAGGGCAGCCTGCATACTGAGACCCTCATCCTCAACCCCACCCCAGAGAAATTATTTAAATGAAGAAATATGAAAACTAATTGAGTTAAAAACCCAATTAATTGAGTTAATCTTCTAGTTAAGTAATAAATTGAATAAAGCGTAGTTAGTAAAACCACTGATTAATTACTTATTTAAATGGACAAATGCTTATACAGTATTTTAGCACATTGGATATACTGATATTGGGCAAATACTAATTTGACTTGTTTAGAAATAGCCTGAAGTTTTCCTGCCACGTGACGACTGCTAAAGCTGTTAACCTTGGTCTTCACCTATGAAACTTATTCATTGTGCCATTTTAAAACAAAAGCCTTATATTCTTCCATGGCCTCTCCATTATTTTGAGCTTTTCTGCACACAGATAAAATTCACGAAAAGGGTAAGTTTTCACCTCTTTGTTAAGAGTAGGAGGCAAATCTTCAGGGGCTTCTTCTCAACTCCCGTCCCCTAGCACCACTCCTTTTATGTTATAGTGACAACATCTTCATCATATGGATGAAGAATTCCCCAGGGATTTCAACAATTTCCACCTCACTTATCAATCTCAGCCTGGACCATTCCACACGAGAGATCCACTTCCTCGACACTACAGGTTGAATCTCTCTGGTCTGGGAACCTCAGGATTAGGGAGTTTGCTGGACCAGAGGAGGCCCCTCCCCTCATGACCTGCCCACTGGATAGGGCTCCAGCCTGGCACTGCTGCAGTTAGGCTGGCTGTGGCTCCCTGGGCTGGAGCTCTTTAGCTACTGGCAGGACCAGTGCCACAGCCGGAGCTCTACCACTGGGCCAGCCCCCTGCCGCTGCCCAGTGGCTGGGGACAGAACTCTCCACTGCACTGCCCAGCCTCCCTCCCATGACACGGGGCTCTGGCTGAGTCGCTGGGAAGTGAAGAAACAAATTGACAAAGCCAGACAAGTATCCAGAAGTCACTCACTTCAAGACAAGCCCAACAAGGAAAATAAGAGAACACTACTGGTCATCACCTATTTCTACCCAGCTTAAAACCCTCCAGAGCATTACTGACAATCTACAACCTATCCTGGAAAACAATCCCTCATTCTCAGAAACCTTGGGTGACAGGACAGTCCTTGCCTACAGACAGCCACCCAACCTGAAGCAAATACTCATCAGCACCCACAGATCACACTACAGAACCTATCCCTACAAAAACCCCATTGCCAACTCTTCCACATATCTAGCAACATCATCACAGGACCTAACCCCATAAGCCACACCATTAGGGGCTCATACACCTGCACATCCACTAACATAATATATGCCAGCAAGTGCCAGCAATGCCCCTCTGCCATGCATATTCGTCAGACCAGACAGTCTCTGCAGCAAAGGATAAATGGACTCAATTCAGACATCAGAAAAGGTAGCACACACAAACCTGTAGGAGAACATCTTAACCTCCCTGGACACTCAGTAATGGATTTGAAAGTAGCCATCCTTCTATAAAAGAACTTTAAAACCTGATTAGAAAGGGAGACAGCAGAGCTGGAGTTCAATTGCAAATTCAATACATTAACTTAGGATTTAATAAGAATTTTAACTGGTTAACCCACTACAAAAGCAAATGTCCCTTCTCTTGATATTCACATCTTCACATCACATGCAGCGAATCAAACACATCCAACTGACTTGATTAGCCTCAATAAAACTAGTCCTACACATGACAAATAACATCTTCTGTTGTTCTTATATACAGCCCTTCCTGTAATTTCCATTCCAACTCATCTGATGAAGTGGATTTTACCCATGAAAGTTGATGCCCTAATAAATCTGTTAGGGTATGTCTACACAAGCTCCTTAATTCGAGCTAGGTAGGCAAATCAGGGAACCGGGGTTGCAGATGAAGTTATTCAGAAATAACAGCCCTTATTTTGAAATAACTTTCCTAGCAATCTACACAGATAAACTGCTATTTCAAAATTAATTCAAAATAGCAGAGTGCTTATTTCAAATTTGGTAAACGTCATTCTATGAGGAATAACACCAAATCTGAAATAGCTATTTTAAAATAAATGCTGTGTAGACACTTATTTCGAAATAGGGGGCCTCCAGCCTTCCCAGGGTACCCTGGCGGCCACTTCAGCCTCAACCAAGAACACTCCACTCCCTCCCCCCATCAAGGGGTAGACTCTGGCCACAGTGCCTGTGCCAGCTCCAAGCCTGCCAGCCCAAAGCCAGCAGTCACTGCCCCGATCCAGTGGCCCCAAAACATGAGCCAGCAAGCCATTTGCAGCCAGCCCTCCACCACTCCCCAGGAACAGTCTGCCAGCTCCCAGGAGCCTGCCAGGGGCCAGAGAAGGCAGAAGCCTTCCTGATCCAGGGTGGAGATCATGGACCTTATTCAGGTTTGGGGGGGATGACCCCAATGTCCATGATCTCTGCACTAGATGGAGGAACACGGCCATCTATGGCAGGATAGCTGCCAGCCTGGCCACCAAAGACCACATGCGAACCCAGGAGCAGGTTTGCATTACAATCAAGTTGGTACGACGACACCCCCAACCCTAAGCCCTGAGCTTCCCCTCCTCCTTCTTTCCCCTTCCAGCTCTCTTCTCCCAGGTTTCCCCCTCCCTTCTCCCACCTTCTCTTCTCCCCTCTCCCGCCTCCTTTCCCCAGTCTCCCCAGAGTTTCATTCCCTCCCCTCCGCAGTTTTGTTAATTAAGAGAGTTTGTGTTGATGAAAATACGTGTATTTTATTTGACATCAGGAAGGGGATTAGTGAGGGGTAAGTGGATGGATGAGAGGGAGGAATGAGGCACAAGCCCCCAGTGGGGCTGACCAGAGAGGCTCTTAGTGCTTCTAAGAGCAGCAGCTCGGAGCAGATCTGTTGAAGGAGGTATTCTTTCAGAATGCCATATGCCGCAAGGATCTGCCAATGGGATGCTGAAGAAGCATTCACTCCCTAAAATCTATCCATTCAGTGATTCCAGTCTGCTGAGCTCTCTATCACTCCCCCAAGGTCTGCTTTTCCACAGTTCTTCTCCCAGAGATGCTTTCATCAGCTGCTGGGAACACTGCTGTTTCTCTCTCTCTCCCCCTTCCTTGTTTCATCTCAGAGTGGAGTTTCATAGGCAAGGGGAGGGGGGCAGGATAAAGTCAGTCCCAGCAGTAAATTAAAAAGACCACTGAGAAGAAAGCTAGGTTATATACCAGGCAGACAGGGGAAGTTCAAGGCAATTTGGCTGCTGGCTTCAATACATACCAGCATCTCCACAGTTAGTTCCATCTGCCTGCCTCCTAACCTCAGGTCCAGCTCCTTAAGGTAATTCTGTAGGGCAGGGTATTTTCACTGACTGATGGTGCACAGACATCAGTATATTTATACATAGAGAGGTATATGGTTCCAGCCACCCTTTAAGATGAAGAGTTAGATTTTCAAAGGAGTCAATGAGAATTCAAGGGGCTTAATTCACCTTGCTCCTTCTACCACACCTCCTTTGAAAATCCCAGATAATTTTGGTTCCCCATCTTTCTAGCTTATACTATAATTATATTTCGGTCTACAACATTTATAAACTAGTGCACATCAGTGGTCAGTCAAAGCCAGCTAAACTTAGCTGTTAGTGCAGGGAAATCTGGTTTGTAAAATCCACATGACTGAATAGACCCTACATGCACCCTGGCTTTCATTCATATTTCAGATATAAGTGATGTTATTGCCATTTGTCATTAACATCACACTTATCCCCAGTGATACTTCATAACAGGAGTAGGTTGAAAAGTTTTGAATTAATTTAAGACTTAACATCTATTTCTGATTTTTTTTGCTTGAAACAATTTCTTTTCCTAAATAATATTTAAATCCAATTAATAATATCTGCCTCTTCATTTGTGTTGTTTTTACAAAAATGACATATTGACTCTGTGTCACCAGGCCTTATCATAACTAAATGCCTTTATAGCTACATGCATTTTCCAAAAGCTAATGGGCATAAACTAGTCCTGAAATTATTATTTCTGACCAAGCAAAATAACAGTTTATTCTGCTTGCATCAACTGGAAGAATCCAAGGTGAAATTTTGATTCAATTGAAGTCAATGGCAAAACACCCAATTATTTCAATGGAGCCTGAATTTCATCCCCAGTTTCTAAAACTTTTTTTTTATCATTGGTACCTTTCATATTCATAATATCTGCCCAGTTAGTGGCCTTGTCTTACAAGGCAATGAATAAGAGAAGTGCTTTTCACCCTCTACCTCTGGCTTCAATCAGAACTGAAGGTTCATGGCACCTTGTAGGTTCATAGTAGACAAGTATGAATATAGTTTTCTTGACTAGTAGATTATAGAATTATTGCTGCAAATCCACCTGCTAGTGAGGTCTGTTTGGCTAACCTATTTCTGTAAAGCATTGGAGATGTTTAGAATATAGAGCTCCCTGTGCAACATCTCCCAAACCTAGGTATCTGAGGATTCAGTGAAGAACCCCTCCCCCACCCGCCCTCAATTCCCCTATCTCACCTCCATAGAGCACTAATAATTTGGTAGTTGGTAGTTTGGTTTAGAGGTTTGGTGAGTTTTCTTCTCTATTATACCCTTTATTTGTTTCATTTCTTTCTCAGGTTGGTCAGGGAAAGATTACATAATAGCAATGTAAAATTCTTATTTCCCCAGGCAGGAAAAAAACCCTTTAAGCATCAGAAATTGGATGAGTAAGCATGAAGTGCAGCCACTGCCTGCTTTTGATTTTCTTCCCCCTTCTCAAGAGTTCCTACATATATTGAAGATAATTGCAAAAGATATATCAAGGGCTTTAGTTCTTTATCAGAAATAATTTTCATTTTCCAGTCAATGCATATCTTATTTCTTCCACCATTAATTCTACAATGTGGTCTCAATTATATCAGTAAAAAAGTAGGAAACAGCCCATCCTGACCCAAATATTTCTGAATTAATAAATGTTCTTTATCAAACTATTATACAGATTAATGCACCACAACTTGCAGAATGATTAAAATGACCCTTTGTTATGGGAATCAGCAGCACAGACCCGTAGAATTTTATTGCAAGAAAGTTCAATGTCATCCAGCACCCACAATGATCTGCTATCATTGCTGAATCTGACTGTGAATTTTGGAGGTTAAAATCGGGCAGTAATAGTAAATCAATTTTCCATTACTGAATGGGTCTTTCCAGGGAAATTGTATTGTTTAACTACATTTGATGTCAACTAGGACTGTGACAAACACGGATCGTCTTTACAGCCTCCTCTTTTAAAGGGAAGACATTAATAGTTCAAGCAGGTGGTCTCAAGTTTGATCATGGTCTGATCAAATCAGAAAGATGACAATCCTGTAAACTGGTGAAAAACTGATTAAAATAATGAAGAATATTTCAGCAGCAACAATGTCTTTTTCTGAATAATTTAGTAAGAACAATGAAGCCTTTTTCATTGTTTTCATGCTTTTTTCCTGCTGTTGCAGATAATTTTCTTTCCTGATCACTGAAGCAATTAAAAACTGTCCTAGTTACTGGACACGGTTATTGAAAACACTTTCTTGACTTAACGTATGGCAGAAGCCCAGAATGAGGAATTACCTCTTGCTTTCCTTGCTTTTTGGAGTGCAGGTCAGAGAAAACATGTCTGAGCAGTGAGGGTCGGGACGAAGCGTTGTGACCACTTGCTAAATAAGCACTTTGTGATGGCTGTTCTATGGAGAAGCAATGGTATCTCTATTTCAAAATATTATTTAGCATGATTAAAGGAAAAAGGGAAAGTATATTGGCCTTGATCCAAAGCCTGTTGCAATCAATGGAAAGACTCCTAACAACTTCAGTGGACTTTGATTAAGCCCATAAGGAGAAAATTGGAAATTCTTTATCGGGAAGGTGTGGGGATTTTATCTGCACCAATTACAATGGCAATGTGTGTGGCCTCAAACACTAGACAGATATAAAAATATTATTATTAATAAAGATACCTAGCTCCCATATGGTGCTTTTCATTTAGAAAGCCTAGAGCATTTTACAAAAGTGATTAGTATCACTACCCTCAGTTTACAAACTGGGAAAATGAGAAGAGATTAGCTTTAAATTCATAAACCTTGCCTTGACTATATGCTAACATAGAAGGAATCTACCCTAGACTGGCTAGAAGTAATATTAGATCAAAAGAGATAAAGTATTTAGTTGGCTTTCCCCCTGAAATTAAGTGACTGTACTCTGTTTTAGGGAGTATGGATCTTATATTGCTAATTGGTGACACACGGTTGTTTTTCCTCTGCTGTTTCTAATTTCATAATAGAGAGAGAATGAAAAATACTGCAGTACTAATTAGCAGTATTGCAGTATGTGAGAAACAGGTAAAAAGACCACAAGTTAAGTCAAATGTTAAACAGCATCACAAATTTCAATTTAGCATTTGTTATATCCATAGCAAACAGCCCACTAATGAACCCGACCTTTATTTGAATTCATATCAGTGGTGATTAAGCTTTTGCTGACACCTCATTTCACCTTATATGCTTTTGCTTTATGCTTTACAATTGGCAAATAATAAAATATTTATACCACAGATCAGACATTTTGTGTGTTTTATTGAAACTTAATGTCTTTAATGTCTTTTGTTTTAAGTAATTAGATTTTTTATTCTGTCCACAGAGGGTAACTCAATCCACAGATAAAATATCTAGACAATTAAACTTGCTGAGATCAGTGCATTATTGGGATGCAATCATTAAAATATTTGAATTAACAAAATAAAAACAGAAAGTCAAAATAGAAATATCATACCTCATCTAATTCCATTTCATCTGGACTTTCCCATGGCTTGATAAACTTTCCATGAGACTTCTTCAAAGGCACAATTACTATATAATAACCTCTGTAAAGGAAGTAATAGATAACAAACAGTAAGATCTAAATCAATTGAGTGGGTCAAAAGAGTTGGTTGTAAGCTTAAAGACAAACTTCTCTCTCTCTCAAGAGAGAGAACTGTGCAAAATTAAAGGGAAATTTTGTACAGGGAATGTTGCAAAAATCTCCCAAATATAACTGCAAAATGGTTCTTTGTATGCCACAGATTCTCTTTCAAATAAACAGATGATGAATTCTACTGTGCAGCATTTGACAAACAAATGGCACTAATTACCTGCTTTTTCATCTAAACACATAAATATTTATATGAAACTATAATTAAAATATTTTATAATGCCTACATGGTTGACTGCAGTTTATTATCTCATTTTAAATGTAACAGACATGGGACACTTGTGCCCTGTCAACATTCTAAGTGTATAGAAACCAATAAGCTGAAACCTATTGCTGGATTTTTCAAGAACCCATTTACCATCACACTCCTCTTCTAATTTTCACATATAATAAGAATGAAATGATAACATTATGTATTTGTTGTTCCTGTTACTATTATACTATAGCATTATATAGATATAATACAAAACTGGTCAATAATTTATAGCTAGTAGTAAAGGATATGTAAGTGTGAAAAATACAGATAACTGAGAATTAAAAAAAAAAGTATTATATATCTACCATGGGCAAGGGTATGCATGTGTGTGTGTACTAAGAATTCAGAAAACATTAAACACATATATACCCCTGAGAATTAAGACATATGCTATAATAGACAGATAGATAGATATAGATAAACAGATAGGCAGGCACACACACTTTATTGCCATAAATTATCTGTCTATCATATAGTTCATTAGCATGCAAAAGGTAACCCCAGCATTTGGCTTTCTTCGTAGTCAAGATTTTAAAGCAAAACACACTTCTAATTTGCAAGTCAAATAGTCCCCTGAAAAACACCCTCTTCTTCTCTCCCATAGAGAGCTTTCAGCATATGATATTTTTTAATATAACTGAGATAGGGCAGATTGTCTCCTCATTTTCTCACGCCAAACCAAAGTATATGTCAGATTGATGACAATAGATATAAAATATTTTCTGGATAAAAATGAGTTATTCTTTGTTTCAGTATCAGAGAGAACAGAAGAGAGTAGTTGCCTTCCTTTGACCCAACAATGACAGACCTCATATTCTAGATACCTTCGTGTCTTCTGTTAGTGACTAGTAACAGAAGATAAGGCTGATGGACCATTGATAATCTTCACCTAATCTGTCCTGTCATTTTTATGGTTTCTTATCAATTTTTCTTTGTCACAGTGGCTGTTCATTTCATTCCAGGCTAGGAATACAATTGAACAGTCTCCTTTGAAGCAATTAGCGAGGATGTATTTTAAAGAACCATCCTTCTCCACAGTTCCATAGAAAGAACTCAGTCTCAACCAGTCCATGAATTAACCATCGCAGGGCATCTATGGATGGCCCTTATGGCAGCATGTAACACTGGCCCCTTTTTAATGGGCTCTTCCTAATAAAACTCTCCCATAGATAGAAGAGTTCTATATCATAATATTTATTACCATACAAAATGCTTAAATGTATTAAAATTATTTAAAAACATACCAAGGGCTTAGTTTTCAAAGATCGTCCATAACTATAACTGATACTAAGAGGAAGGGATGATACTCTGCTCTCTAAGTACCACAGATCTGTGAACACTATTTGCCAGTCCAAGCCCAAAATTCTGTCCTAAATTTGTACAACAAAACATGTAGCATGGTGATCTAGACCAACTCTAACAGGTATTTGTCTAACCTGCTCTTAAAAATCTCCAATGATATAAATTCCATAACCTCCCTAAGCAATATTGCATAGGGAAGTTGTGGAATCTCCATCATCAGAGATTTTTAAGAGCAAGGATAGTCTAGATGGTGCTTGGTCCTGCCATGAGTACAGGGGACTGGATTTGTTGACCTTTAGAGATTCCTTCAGTTCTGTGTTTAAGATGATTTTGAAGATCTATGAAGTCAGAAGATTTTGACAGGCTTAGTTACTCATAAACCTTTTTTTCCAAAAAATGTAAGGGTTGATTCTGCAAATAAGCTGGGTTCTTCAAGGTATCAGGCTTCGTATCTGTTGAAGGATTTAATGTGCTTTTGGATATGTGTGCTTAATCCACTGGGCTATAACTTGAAACAATGCAGCACCACCAGCAATAACGTGGGTAACCATAAGTTGTTCTGGAACTTCTGTAAGATTCAAACCAGGTTTTATAGTTCCCATAGTTCAGATTTGTACAGCTGTGGAGGAAGGCTTTGGAAATCTTTAACAGACCCTAGGAACGAATTCATATTTTCAATGCTGTCTTCAGAAGGAAAAGGGCTAAAACCTTACTGGAATAAAAATAAAAGCTGAGATTTGCCTCTGGTTTAGCAGGCCTCAAAGGCCAGCTCTACTCTCAATGCAGTGTGAGAGAAATTTAACACACTGTTTGAAATATAGTATAAGGAAAAAGAATAGAACTCCTTGTATGCCCTTCCAATGTCCATCATTCCTCTTCAGCACTTTCAGTGTTTTAAAAAATGTTGGTGCAGTATAGTTTCTTGGCTTTGATTTCCATCTTATGAGAGGCTATTTCCCTAATGGAATAGTATCAACTACCTAAATCAATAGATGCAGGTATTCAATTCAGATTACAGTGTTTATCCTCCTTTTCTATGGCTACCAACCTCTTTTTAAGGATTTTATTATTTTGAATAGATAGAATTGTACAGTTTTAAATTACACATCAAATTTTCGTGACCTTATTAATTTTTAAACACACATTTTGTGTTTAACCCAAATATTTTCCTTAACAATAGCTGTAGATGCTTGAAGCTTCTCTAGCTACAACCTTAACATGACTCCTAATTTCATGTGGTCAGTAATTATAGTAGCTGAAAAAGTGGTTTCCTCATAATTGAGACAAAATCAGCCGATAGTAAAACTTTGAACACTAATGTGTTCCACCTGAGTATGTGAACAAGTTAATTGGGGTACCACAGATTAAATGTATCATATGCATTGATTAATGAAATGCACCCATTAAACTATAACCATTAATTTCCCTTCATATTCGTGAATTTCTATCAAAGCATACTGTGCAAAGTACGTCTATCTTGTCTAACACTTTCTGTCATCCACAACCTTGATTAGCCAGTCAGACAGCTGCACACACAAGTGATGTAAAAGTGCAATACAGAACTATATACAAGGTTGGTTGCAGAATGACATTGTAATAGTCTATAAGGAATATTTACGTAGTTGTTGGGAGGGAGCAATGCCACATCTGTTGTTAGAACATAACACTTCATAACCGGGGCTCAAGTAACATACCAAACAGGCAAACTTAGTCAAGAGGAGATATAAAGCACTTTAAGGGAATGCTTAATTGTTTCTTTTCTTTGGGTTCTACCCTGAAAAGACCCAAACTTTGTATAAATCTCTACCTTTACTTAGGAGGGATTCATAAGCAGGCACAGCAACTTTCAGTCAGAAATAGTATTTTTGGTATGTACAAAAATTTTGGCAAAGTGCCAGAAATGCTTTACCTAAAGCAGCCTTGGATAAAAGATACTTGTTTAGCTCTGGATATGAATATTTTTGCACAGCTCTATTACACTATCTGCCCATTCCCATTACTGAACTCTGAAGAACAAAAGTTATGACCCCCAACATCTTTAAAAAATTATGCTGTCTCGAATAAATTGTCCCCATGTCCCATTAGTGTTAATCTAAAATGCACTACAGTGAAGCCATTAAACTCTTATCTTGCCTTTTGACTAATTAATATTACTGCAGGATTCTCTATATTTAGTAATCCTACCATATTAGGATGGACACTCATGCTAGCACAATGTTAATCACATACAAATGGCAACTGTAAAAAAGTTTAATGGTGACTACTGTGTACAAGATTGGTTCTTCTCTCTCAGACACTGCAGCTGTTACTACATCCTTGAGCACTAAGAATGCAAATTATATATAGCTGCTTTTAAGTTTTAAACAATTTTATTGTATGCAGCTTCGTTTCCCAATGAACATACTTTCTATCTGACGGAGAGCCCCGCGCCTAGTGAGAATGAATTTAGATGTCTTCTGTAATGGGGGAGTATCATAAAGGATCTAACAGACTGGGTTCCACAAGATACACATCCAGAAAAGGGTGGAAGTCTTGTGAGATTTGGAGCTATGATAGGAATCCTATGCTGAGGGCTACTTCTTGTTTGCTGATTACTAGGAATCAGTCCTTCCTTCCTCTCTTACTTAGGTTGCTAAAGGCTAAACTGATTAACTACTTAGCTGCTAAGGTCTAAGTTAGTCACTGCCTTTTCCCCATACCACAGACTTGCTATTTCTTTTACTTTCCCTGCAGCAAAATATTCAGATTCGTTAAAATATACCCTTTTATACCTTTTTGGCATTAACAAGAGTTAATTTTGGGATGATAGAAAATTCGCCATTCTCCTCAACTGCAGAACCATTACTCACTTTATATTCTCATTTGCAGGTACTTCAGGAAGTTCCACAGTTATCATCCCATCTAAATTGGTCTTCCCAATGAAGACTGGCTTGGTGCGCAGTACATCTGGTGCAGTCTTTGCTGTAACCCTATGCTGAAGACCTCCAGCACTGTTTCCCCTATTCGTCAGAACAAAGGAATATGATGTTTCTGGCTTCAAATTAGTTATAAGTTTCTGAGTGGCTCGACCATCCACCTCAACGACCATTTTCCCATCATCGTAAAGGATCTAAATAGATACAAAAATTCAAGGCCTTTTAGTCACTGGAAGGAACAAAAAGTTGTAAAATATAAAAAGTTGGTACTGACACACTGAAAACATAGATGAACCCAGACATTAGTTTAAAATGGTAATCATAAGCATTTTATGGTCTAAAATGTCACTGATGACAGCATGTTAATCTAGTTCTCTATTTTAAATTATTATTTTCCCTGGAAAAAAAGTGACCTCTATGACAGTGCATGTGGTATTAGACCTGTATTTGTTATCATGTGTAAAATTCTTATGATGCTGATACAAATGAGCTGAGCATTTAATATGATGTTTACATCAAGGATGTTCTGCAGACTTCCATTTATTGTAGATCTACCCATCCTTAAAGGTTCCTTGTTTTCTGAACCAGTTTTCATAATCACAGACATTCACAATTATTGTTCTCTGATGACTTTCCCCACTGGTGGGTAATATGTGCTTAATTGGCGCAGAAAAATTTATGGGCCAGGGTGCAACTTACAAAAATTTGTCTGACTGTATTATAAATAGTTGGAAGAAATAGTAAGAAACCAGGTAGGCTTCTTTTTTAGGGCAAAGGTCAAACATTGTGTTACATGCACTGCAGAGCAGAAGCTCCAAAGGAAAATTAATATTTGTCTTCCACTGTTTAGGAAGACCAGTTGCACTGAACTATAAACAAAGAGTACACAGTATGTGTAATAGCTAATATCAGTCAGTGTTTGGAATGCTGCCACTGCACTAATGATAAGGTGGAAACTTCACATTGCCTAAGAATTGATTTTAACTGGTTGGGTCAATATTGCTGATCAGCATACACATTTAAAAACAGCAGAAGCAAAATTAAACAAACAAATAAATAAATAAATAAAATCCAAATGTTTAAATCCTCCAATTTTATCCTTGATGTCTTACAAATTAGAAAACAACTTACTTTGAAAGGCATGGCAGAATTGTAATTCTCTGGAATCTCCCAAGATAGCAACACGGACGTCTTCATTACTGCTTTTACATGAAAATTTTTTGCGAACACTGCTGGAAAAGGAAAAACAATGTATTTAAACTACATCTTGAACCTTAGTGCCTGTTGTCCAATTTTATCCTTGATGTCTTACAAATTAGAAAACAACTTACTTTGAAAGGCATGGCAGAATTGTAATTCTCTGGAATCTCCCAAGATAGCAACACGGACGTCTTCATTACTGCTTTTACATGAAAATTTTTTGCGAACACTGCTGGAAAAGGAAAAACAATGTATTTAAACTACATCTTGAACCTTAGTGCCTGTTGCTTTTCTGCCACTACCTATAAGCTGGGGCTATTAGCTTTCCATTAAGAACAAAAAGAAATGTAATTGTTGGTCTTGCTTAAGACAATCATTTTAATACGTCATCCTTACAAAGTAATTTCATCTAAAACCATCTCAGTATGTTATATTTTTCCTTACCTGCAAATACTGTGCAGATGTTAGCCAGACTTGCTTGACATGGGATAACTGGATTCTAAGGTATCCAAAACATATTAAGATTTACATACTTTACCTTTTGTGTTGGTCGAACCTATTTACATGAATGGGCAGGTCAGTTTATTTATAGCTTCAAAAACACTGATATCCAAAGACCGACATTCCTTTAAAGGACAACGCCATAAGCAGACAAATCCTACCTTGATCCACAGGCAGTGTCCTGAACTGGACACTTGGACTATATGGACCGGGCCCTTTGCTCGTGTGGGCACGTACTTTTACATCATATGTAGTATCTGGTTTTAAGCCAGAAAGTGTCATAGTGGTATCGGCGGGAACAATGGGGAGCTCAATTGGGTGGTGTGCAACATTGATATTTCTGTATAGCAGGGTGTATTTGGTGATAATGCCATTTCGTTCGGCTAAGACTGGTGGCTGCCAAGTTAATTGGACCGACGTAGAGGTGGAGCTTTCTGAATGGAGGCTCTGAGGGAATCCACTGGGTACCTCTTCAGGAACAGAAATCTCTTTTACCATCTCCTCCCCGTAACCCACTTTATTTCTAGCAGAAAGCCTGAAGAGATAAGAAGCTCCTTTGTGAATATCTGTAGCTGTGAAGTGGTCTTCTTTCTCTGAGAACTCCAGCGTCGTAAACATATCCAAGTCTTTGCGGCCAAACTTCAGGCGGTAACCCTGCAGGGGGCCAAAGGTATCGACAGGAGGGTGCCACTGAATAAGAGCCGTGTTCATCTGTGTGTGGCTTATCACAAGCCGAGGTTTCCCTGGAACTGTAGCAAAATGTTATTTAATGATGATAAATATAAATGTAAATCTGCATTTAATTATTTACACTTTTAAAATAGGAATACAGCTGTATTTGCTTTTCCCTCATTCTTTGTTCCTCAAATAACTATCTTATAAATGTTCAGAAATAACCTCTTTCTTCAGCACTATTCAGCCATACAGTATAATAGACTTGGATAGCTAAGCTAGCCATTATTTGTTGCTCTCCCCACCATTTTCCAACTACAGAGAAAAACATGAACATTCAGGGATACAGAACGTATGAACACAAGTAAGGTAAAACTTCCAAACAGAAACTACCCATCTAATAATAACTGCTTGTGAAAAGGAGTGTTGTCATAAGCATTCATTAAGTTAATCAAGGGGAAAACATTTCCATTTCTGAAAGCGAAAAAAATGAAGAAATTATATGGCTGATTATGGCTAATGTATCTATGACCGTTTTGTCAGGGGTAAGGGAGAGAAAAGAACACATCTATGGTAGAAGATAAGTCAGCTGGATCTTCTTCTTAGCAGTCTTAGCACACCACCACAAGGAATCCTATCTACTTATCGTAGGTACTTCTCTTGCAATCGTTTTTGTATTTATCATTTCAATATCTCTGTGAGATTGGGAAGTAATATTATCTTCTTTTTATAGAGGCGGAACTGAGATACAAACAAACCAAATGACTTGTTTAAGGTCACACAGACTGGACTTCCCACAGGAGGGGGGGGGAAGGAGAGGGCAAATGGGGCAGTTGATCACCTGGGGCCCGGTGATTCAAAGGGATGTCTAGACTACATGCCTCTGCCAACAGAGGTATGTATATTAGACATACCAACATAGTCAATGAAGCGGGGATTTAAATATCCCTCGCTTCATTAGAATAAAAATGGCCACCGTGTTATGCTGGCTCAACTGTTTGTCGCCACAAACCGGTAGTCAAGATGGGGATTGGTCGACAATGAAAGCCTTTGCCGACCGATCTGTTATGCCTCGTGAAACGAGGTTTACAGGATCAGTCGGCAAAGGCTTTTCTTGTCGACGGATCCCTGTCTTGACTGCCAGTTTGTGATGACAATCAGCTGAGCCGGCACAATGCGGCAGCAATTTTTATTCTAATGAAGTGGAGGATATTTAAATCCCCGCTTCATTGACTATGTCGGTATGTCTAATTTATATGCCTCTGTTGGCAGAGGCATGTAGTCTAGACATAACCTAAAAGGCCTGGGGCTCTTGGCCACAGCTACCGTGGCAGTAGCAGTGCTGTACCATATGCTCCAGGCAGTTTTAAGGGTTAGGAGGGTCCTGGCATGGCATATTCTGGGCAACACTGAGGGCTGGTTGCTCCAGCCCTTCCCCTTCAGCCCAAGGCACCACCCCTTCTGGGAGCCTGGAGACAGGTCCTTCTCCCCCCCATGCATTTTGCCCAGGGCCAACTATGACTGTGAATTTGCCTATGCACAGGAAATCTATGGCGAAGGAGGTATTTGACAATGAAAAGCCACGGGGCCATTCTTCCTCTTAGTTTCTGCTTATCAGCCCTTCATTTATATGTGTTTGAATTCCATGTAGACTACAAGCACCAGTTGCAAAGCTTGCCACTCTTAAGCAGCATATTATATATATGAAAACAGTTCACAACAGGAATGTCAGCTGATGCACAAGAAAAAGATGGTGCTGAGAGATGGAGAGCAGATAAAGAGAAAATGGGCTTGAGAAAAAGCACTCAACTGCATTTAAGTGGTGTAAATACAATGAAAATGGATGCAAAGGATAAAGGTGGTATTGGACAGTGACAACGCGTCAGGCTTTCCCCCGATCCTGCACCCCCCTAGCAGCCAGAACAGACTCCACTAGCCAGTAGAATAGACGGGGTTTATTGCTTCTCCAGGATACAGCATAAAGGAGCCAGGACCAGGATGCTTCAGACCCCTTGGGTTAGGGGGTCCATCCCCCCCCCCCCCCAACCCTCAACACCCAGTTTAGTCTGTTTCCTTCATGTTCTCTAGTCAGAAACTGACCCATCCCCCAACACTCACTACCTTTGTTCCATCCCTTCCCTTAACCGGTAGGACCAGTTCAGTCACTGTCATGGGGGCCCTCAAGGCAGCCCCCGCTGGGAAGTGCTTATAGACAGAGGGCAGTAGGGGTCATCCACAGCCCACAGCCCACAGCCCACGCATAGCAACCAGCAACTTACTGACACTACATCACATTGGCAATAAGGAGCTATTAGCTTATATTGATCCAAGTCTGACATTCAATGTTATGAATTGGAGAAATGTGAGGGTATGTCTACACTACCACCCTAGGTAGTACCATCCTAGCTTGAACTAGGGTGGCAGTGTAGACATACCCTAAAAGAATAACTTATGGGTAGAATTCATTGACCAAATTTTCACAACAAAAAAAAAGACAAACTTTTTTTTAAATCTCTTTCTCAACTGTGTATTTCAGTTCTCACGATCATAATCAATTTGCTCTATTTGCCAAAAATGTATTAATATGTCTATATTTTACTACATGTAAGGCCAAAATATTTATATTTATATTTCCTGGGAAATTTGTATCTATTTACTATTTTTGCCTTTAAAAATCTTCTCCTAATTGGGTAAAGGTAAGCATCTGAATCCATATTTAGGCACCCAAGTAAATGGCCCAATTTTCAGAGGTGATAAGCATTCACAATTAAGTTAGTTGGGACTAAGGGAAAATGGTATCACCGAAAACTAGACCACTCTGGAGCTTAAATATGGATTTAAATCCTGATCCAACAACTGTGTCACCACAGTACTCTTGTGTCTTCATGGAGGTTTCATTTATTGGCGATCCATGAAGAAGATGGGTTTGCACAAGTAAATGCAGCTGATGCACTAGGGCTTTAGGTTTTTATCTTTAAACACAAAATTGTGAACATTTTTAACTTTTATAATTACATTTATCTTTCCCTGAAATGCTGAAAAATTATCAGATTTTAAAATAAATAATTAGAATTATTAATTTGATTTTAAAATTAAATCATTAGAACTACTGATAATAAACCTAAACTGAATTTAACACTAGCGAACAAGGATGTCATTTCTTGGGAAAGATTCTGCAAACAATAAGCTCTTTTTCCATTACTCTTTTCATAAATCTTGGCCATTGTCTATAACATAACTGGAAATGTAGTTTATTTGTACAGCCATTTACAACAGAATCTTCATTTTTAAAGCCTACTTCGTGTCCAAATAGGAACCCAAACTCTTTATACAATTTCTCCCTACTTTCTATAGTGTGAAATATATGTCTCTGAATAGTTCTGACCTTTCCCCACCGAGGGATACAAGTCAGCCATGGAGCAGAGAAAAGTTGTGTATGGTACTGCAGGTCATATTTTTGAATGTATTATAACTATTATTGAAGCCAATGGAGCATAAGCAAGAGAAGAGCCCACAAAATAAGAATAATAACTCCTTCAGATTTTTAGAGGAGAGATTGCTAGAAGCTGTCACTAAATTATTTATGCTATAAATTGTTTTTATTCCTTTGGCAGCCCTCACATTTAAGACTATTTTTTTAAGTTTGATTGGTGGTGCCTACATAAAAGAGGTAAGAATTACAGCTATTTCTGGAGCAGAATAGATAAGTTAGCAATGCTTGTCTAACCATTACAAAAATAATTTTGAAAAGTAAAATTTAACTTATAGTGTCTAATGGCAAAAACAATACATGCCCATTATATCTTCATATATCATGTACTCTTGGTTATCCTCTTTAGTTAATAATTGAATTAATTTTTTAAAAATACAAACTTTTTTTCTAGTTTCTTTTTACTAGAAATCTTTAAGGCAACATTTTCCTAAAAGTATGCAAGTGTCATTACTTATTTTTTTTATAATCCTACTGGTGAGAATGCAAAATTTTGTCAGGACTTTCAGGAACGACAGTTTCCCAGTGATTGTACTAGACAATAGAGACCGACTTCAACCAATAATCTCTGGTTAAGTATAAATGAAATTCATGTACTGTGGCAAACCTCTGGCCATGCCCTGAGGGTCCTGCGCTTCCTGGAGGTAACTGTTTACCTCAGAAGCTTACTGTGACCCTCCACACCCACTTTTGCCCTTTACTAGAGGCAAATGTCAAAATTTACTAAGCCATTCTCATTATAGGCTAGTCCATAGTTTGGGGTAAAATCCCTCCATATTCCTGCCTTTGGGCAGACTCTGTAATGGTGTCAGGAGGGTTGGGGGAAACCTGAGCCCACCCACTACTCTGGGACTGTAAGGTAATGGCAACTCTCAGCATTTTCTTCTCTCCCAGTCTTGCAGCCTTTCCCCGGGCCACCCCAAACAATCCCTCTCCGTACCTTCTTCCTAGTACTTGAACAATCCTTCCTGCTCCTCCACAGCACTCTGTTATACTCTCAGTCCTTCACTCTTTCAGTGTAGCTCCTCTCTCTCAGTCCTTGGCCTTCTCTCTTGCTCCTCCTGAGAGGAAGCCTTTTAAATTGGTGCAGGTTGCCCTGATTAGTCTACTATTTCAGGCAAGTTTTTAATTGGCCCCTGCTGCCTGCCTGCTTTGATTATGTGGTGGTAGTGCCTGGCCAATTCACTTAGGGATCAGAAAACTATTCATCCAGTTTCCTGTATATTTGTCCTCCAGAAGCTACTGTGGCCAGCTGCCCTGGGTCTGTCACAGAACTTATGAAGAGGACATTCTCTGAATTTCTATGGAATTGCATCTTCATATCCATCCAGCAGGATATCGCTAAAACACCAAGTTACCTTACAACCAAGTCCAAACTGGGAATCTAAAATATGAGGGACTTGGGCTGGTATGATGAGATGCTGCAAATACTGCATCACAGGGTCCCCCAGAAGCAACAGCACTGTGTCAAACTCGCCGTTCACCATATACAGTGTATGATATAAGGCTCACCTTCTATCCAGGCTTTTTGTTGGTAATATAAATTTTGGACCTGATTTTCCTCTCAATAAAAACAGTATTACAGTT